TTTCTGCGCACCGACACTTCTTTGCCGCCGTTCTACATCCTCGTGTACGTCGACGACTTGGTCTTTGCCACAGCTGACCCTGCTGGACTCGCCCACGTGAAGTCCGAGCTGCAGAAGAGACACACGTGTACAGACCTGGGTGAACTGCGCAGCTACCTTGGCTTGCAGATCACTCGGGACAGAGCACGCCGCACCATTACCCTGACTTAGTCACACATGGTGCAGCAGGTCCTTCAGTGCTTCGGCTTCACGTACTCCTCGCCTCAGGCCACTCCTCTGCCTACTCGCCACTCGCTCTCAGCTCTGCCTTCGGATGAGTCCGTAGAGTCAAGTGGCCCGTACCCAGAGCTTGTTGGCTGCCTCATGTACCTGATGACCTGCACACGACCTGACCTTGCATACCCTCTTAGCATTCTCGCACGCTATGTTGCTCCTGGGAGACACAGACCAGAGCACATGGCTGCAGCGAAGAGGGTGTTGCGCTACTTGTGCAGTACGTTGGGCATGGGGCTTGTGCTTGGAGGGCAGAGTCCAGTGGTCCTCACTTGGCACGCAGACGCTTCTTGGGCTGACGACCAGGCTACGCAGCGGTCGTCACAGGGTTACACCTTCAGCCTTGGTTCCGGCTCTGTTTCGTGGCGGGCTACTCGCTCGTCTTCAGTTCTCGGCTCCAGTTGTGAGGCTGAGATCTACGTAGGAGCCATGGCTGCACAGGAGCTTCGCTGGCTTACCTACCTGCTGACTGGCCTCGGAGAGCCGCCTCGTTCTCCTCCAGTGCTGTATTTCGAAAACAAGGCCATGCTGGCCTTGTGTCGGGAGCAGCGACTGGAGCACAGAACGAAGCACATAGCTCTCCGCTACTTCCTTGCTCGTGAGTTGCAGCAGCGTGGTCAGCTGCGTCTTGCGTACGTGGCCTCTGAGGCCAACACTGCTGATATCTTCACCAAGGCGCTTGCGCCTTGTGATCATCAGCGCTTCTGTACTCAGCTGGGTCTTGTGCCTGTCTTGCCTCACTTGCTCACCTCTTGACCTTGTTTGTACTGTTACATATATATATATATATACCCTTGCTCTTGCTTGTCTAGCCTTTTATATATATATCTACTCCTGCATGTGAACTGGCCTTGTGGCCTTGAACTTGTGCTCGGAATGTGTGGTGACTTTGTGATCCACCCTGAGCTTGCTTTGCTTTGCTTGACTCGTCTTGTGACCCCTTGTTCTCCCCCACTTTGCCTATGGGGGTGTGTCAGAACATTATAGCTTATTCATTTTTGTAGGCTGTAGTGGGGTAGCCCATAAGGGGTACAACCCAATTAGGGTTGGTACTTGTACCCAACTGTTTCATAGTTCATCCATTCTCGTTCTAGTTTTTTCTCAACCTCGCCCAAGGAACCAACCACCATCCGCCAAGCCCTGTCTGGCCCTAACAGTGAAAAATGGAGAGCAGCCATGGCCGCCGAAATCGCGTCGCTGAAGAAACGTGGCACCTGGAAGCTAGTCCCTCGGTCATCGGCAAAAGGAAGAAAATTTCTCAGCGGCAAATGGGTTTTTCGCATCAAAACTCTCGCAGATGGCTCGGTCGACAAGTACAAGGCGCGTTGGGTGGTGCGGGGATTTGAGTAAGCGCACCTGGTGGATTTTACTCTCACCTACGCTCCAGTCGGCCGCCACACGTCGGTGCGGATTCTTCTCTGCATCGCCGCCATCAAACAGCGACCGCTCCAGCAAATCGATGTCGGCAGCGCCTTCCTATACACCCCAGTCGATGCCATAATTTTCGTCGAGCAGCCGCACGCATTCGAAGAAACCGATGGCGCTGTGTGCCTCCTCCAAAATTCCCTCTATGGAATCAAGCAGGCACCTCGTCTGTGGGAGCAGTACCTCCATTCCGTCCTACTTGAGCTCGGCTTCACTCAGCTACCGCACGACCTCGGAATGTACAGGCAAGAATTGCGCGGGAAATTCATCCTCCTCGTCGCCTACGTCGACGACCTTCTCTACACCGGCAACGTCACGGAGTTGTTGGACCGGTTTGAGGCTGACATTAAGGAGAAGCTGGAGGTGACAGTAAACCACAACGTCACACAGTTTCTCGGCCTCAATGTGACTCAGTCCGCCTCCTCCATTCACCTCTCCGCCGCCAAGTACGCCGAAATACTCGCGAAGCGATTCGCCATCGCACCGATCAACCTCACCACCCCCTACCGCACTCCTCCTCCCAACCACGAGCCAGACACCACACCGATCTCTCCCGACAACCATCGTCTCTATCAGCAGCAGCTGGGATGTCTCCTGTTCGCCGTCGTCACGTGCCGACTAGATCTCTCCTACGTCGCAAGCCAGCTCGCATAGTACCTGAAGCGACCTGAAGGGGAGAATCTACAGGATCTACGCCGAGCACTACAGTTTTTCATCTCCACCCCCGACGTCGGTCTCACCTACAAAGCTAACCTCACCGCTACTCTACAGCTCCATGGCTACGTAGATGCCGACCACGCTGGAGATGTTGACAACTGATGCTCCCGCACAAGATTTATTTTTAACTCCAGCCTGCGGGACTCATCTCCTGGAACTCTCAGAAGCAGGAACTTATCACTCTTTCGTCAGCAGAAGCAGAATTCATCGCAGCTAGCGCAGCTGTTCGCGAAGGACTGTACCTGATGGAGCTCCTGCAAGAGGCGAAAGTGACGATGAACGGGCACTTCACGTTACTCTGCGACAATCAGAGCGCGATAAAGATCGCGAACAAGCCCGGCTTCGTAAACCGCACCAAGCACATCGCCCTTCGCTACTTCTTCGTGAAGGATGAAATCGACAAGGGGAGAGTCAAGCTGACGTACTGCCCAACCGGTGACATGGCAGCTGATTTCTTGACAAAGAAGCTGCCACGTCAGCAGTACCAACGCTGCGCCGACCTCTGCAGGATCACCAAGAAATCCCACGTGGCCCACCTTCAGGAATGAAGGGGAGTGTTGAAACAACCGAAAGGTTATATAAAGCATTCCCAAAGCTGCTCCACTGTACCAGTACCGCAATAGCTCATATAGAGCATGCGGAATGTCGAGGGTCACCCGAAGGTCAACCGTCTGAGGAAGTCAACGGTCGTAACCTTTGACGATCCAGTAACCGCGAGACAGTTGATTCACTGCAACATGGTAACTGTTGAGGATAGCAATAGTCGCGGTTACTGTAGTTATGCAATACAGTTGATAAGGGAATGTACCCCTCAAAGTACATGGCTAGCTAGATTTCTATTTAATCTCTTGTACCCCTATCTTTCAATCATCTTGTTCTCTTTCAATTATTATTCAACAAGGTCACTACAGAGACTTCTTTGTCTCCTCTCAGACTTAACAGACCCTATCCTATCTACTGGATCCTTTGGTTGTATCGACAACCCACCCTAGCAAAAATTGCAAGTTGTAACTTGTAATGTAGGTACCATATATAAGCAGGACGAGAATGTTGTAATGCCCATTTGAAACGAAGCTTGTTGCCATTGCAAACACAAGAAAGCAAGTTTTCTAAATTTGACGAACTAGTGCTTGCAAGGTTTGAAAAAAAGCGAGCCTGCAGTTTGGGACTTTCGGGGTGTCAGAATCCCAACCACTAGACCATTAGGATAAAATGGCTTGTTTGTGTAGCGAGTAAATGCGCCCATAACCCCCCAGGCCAACATGCCTGTAACCCTTTCCTAGGATCAATCGGGGATCTCCAGTGGACCTCTTACACCCCCTGCACTGGGATGCCCAAAGTGCACACTCTAAGATTCGAACCCGAGACCTTCGCTCTGATATCATGTCAGGATCCCAACTACTAGACCATTGGGATAAAAGGATTTGTTTGTGTAGCGGGTAAGTGCGCCCATAACCCCCTAGGCCAACATGCATGTAACCCTTCCCTAGGATCAATCGGGGATCTCCAGTGGACCTCTGACACGGGGACTGAACCAACCCCCAGAGCGAAATACGAGGGCGGGCTGGGTTTGGCGAAAAAAAACGAAAGAACTGAAATCGAAAACTTTCGCCAAACCCCAGACCAGGAAACTCCCCCCCACGTCAAACTTTTAAAAGTTGTGCAATTTGGGCTGCCGGCTTTTAACCTTGTTTGTATTTGACATAATCAACCAATTCTCATTCAACTCTTCAATTACTCAGTAACATCAATAGTTCTTTCGCCAAAGTCTTCCGCCGCACTTTCATCCTAGACTTAGTAGACCCCGCTAATCTTTAGCGGATTTAGGCCAAGGGGCCTAAAAGGAGCTCTGTATCGGTTCATCACACTCAGACCATTGCAGCGGGACACTCTTTGCCGTTGCAGTTCGCTGATGATCGAAGTTCTGTGCCAAACACTAACACACAACCACAACAGCTCCGCGCCACGCGATGTACAGCGCAAGCAGCTTACGGGCGGTTTGGGATGAATCATGTGCGGCCAATAATGACCGAGTAGCCGTGATAGAGCTGTCAGGCTGCGAAGGTCAATCCGCGTTGGATTCGCCAAGCAAAGGAATCCGTCACGCTCGACGCGTTCCGGCTAAGATACTCGCGGAAATGACTGCTTTTTCCACGTGTCCACACTCATCCTTAAGTCTTCCTCATCATAATGAAGCGATACTTGCTCCAGGGATTCAGGATTCCGCGGACCGTCCGTTGGGTAGGGGACAGAGCACCAAGGGGGGACCGCAACGGCAGGAGAATGATTCAGAACGGACGGGAGTTACACGTGGGAGCTCAGCAGCCCACGTCACCGGTTCCTGCCAGTGGCCGAATGACGCGTCAGGTGCGCGGATGTTCACAGTTGGCGCGATGCGACTGGCCTCCGACAGAATTGGTGTCTGCATCCGGCGCCACGTCACGGCAGCGGAACTGGGAACCAACAAAGCCCGGGTCGCAATGGCGACCCAAGGGGAGGGGAGCGCAAATACATGCCTCGGCAATCCCGATAGTCCGGTGCCGCGAGGAGCAGGGAGGGCGGACGGGCTCGCCGCAGATGAACCAATGGCAGGCGCGGAGCTCAGTAAGAAGCCGCCAAGGGAACCTGAGGAGGATGGCTGGCCGCGGTTGAACCGGCGGGGAAGTGGAGTCGAAGAGGACACAGGAGGAGATGAGGCGGATGGAGCGAGGAGGAAAGAGGAAAGAGAAGCGCCGGCGAGGGTGGTGGTGGCTATGGAGCTCACAGCTGATTACCTCGCCACGCTCCTCGCATGCCTCTGCCCGCCGCCTTCCTCCCTTTCTCCCCCTTCCGCTCCCCATTCCGCTCCCCGTTCCGCTCCCTCTCCCCCTCTCCCTTCCGCTCCCCATTCCGCTCCCCCTTCCGCTCCCCCTTCCGCTCCCACTTCCGCTCCCCCTTCCGCTCCCCCTTCCGCTCCCCCTTCCGCTCCCCATTCCGCTCCCTCTTCTGCTCCCCCTTCCGCTCCCCATTCCTCTCCCCCTTCCGCTCCCCCTCCCGCGTCACCTGCCCCGCGTCGTCCCATCGCCGTGTGCCCCATAGACGTGGTCTCGCTGCCTCCCCGCCGCTGCGCTGACCTCGCGTGGCGCTCCCAGCCGTGCCTCATCGTGTGCCAGGCTGGGAGCGGGTGGCCGCAGGTGCGTGCAAGGGGGAGAGGCAGGCGCAGGGCGACTGGCGTCGGCGGCGGCGGCGGCGGTGGTGGTGGTGCTGCTGGTGCTGGTGGTGGTGGTGGCGCTGGTGCTGGTGCTGGTGTTGCTGCTGTTGCTGTTGCTGTTGGTGGTGCTGGTGGTGGTGAGGGGGAGAGCAAGGATGCCGGCAGCAGCAAGGGTGGGGGTATTTCAGGCAGAGAGGGGAGGATGTGGGGGAAGAGAAGTGGCGGTGGCAAGGAGGTTCGTTGTGCTCGTGGAAGCGCGGTGTCAGCGTCAGCCGCAGTGGGTGGACAAGGTTTGGTGGGGAACACGCGGGAGGGGAGGTGCGGAGAGATGGAGGAGGAGGAGGAGGAGGAGGAGGAGGAGGAGGAGGAGGAGGAGGAGGAGGAGGAGGAGGAGGAGGAGGAGGAGGAGGAGGAGAAGGAGGAGGAGGAGGAGGAGGAGGAGTGGGAGGAGGAGGAGGGTAGTGAGGAGTGGGAGGAGGATGCGGAAGTGAATTGGGATGTCGATCCCATTCTTGGCAGAGTGGCTGTTTTCTATACTCGCCTCAATGCTCCTCCGCCTCCTCCTCCCCTGCCTCCTTCCCCTTCCCCCGCTCCCCCTCCACCACCATCATTGTCGTCGCCATGGTTACCCCGGGCAGCAGCAGATGGTTCTCTGCTGGTTCGCACGCTGTGTTTCCCTCAGGGGGTGGTGCAGCGTGCATCGCAGTACATTCACACACACGCAGCCAAGTCAGCTCAAATGCACACAGCACAGCTCGCTCCTTCTACCACCGCTGCTGCTGGACATGCTGCTGCTGCTGCTGCTGCTGCTACTGCTGCCTCTGATCTTCCTCCTCCTACCCCACCTCCTCCTTGCCTTCCTCCCCCTCATGCTGCTACCGGCTGCGTTGCTGCACATGCTACAGCTGCCAGTGGCAGCAGCAGTGAAGGCAGCGGCGGTGCAGAGGGGGGCAGGTACTGCTACGTGATGTGGACCTCTGGCTCCACGGCCACTCCCAAAGGGGTCTGCGGCACCGAGGCAGGTGGGTGGGTGGACTTATGAGTCGACTCAAAAGTGTGCGGCACCGAGGCAGGTGGGTGGGTGGGTGGGTGAGTGCAGGACCGCCACATGCCAGGAGCAGTTGTCGCATGACTCTTGCGAATGAGTGCACAAAAGTTCATGAGACAGCTCCTAAGGTGAGTATGGTTGGGTAAATCGTAAGGGAAGTAGTATTGTTGTATTGTTGTTATAAATTGTACTGTAGAGTGTACGGGTAAAGGGGGGGGTTTTGTGGTGATATTAGAATTGTGGCAGGGATAGAGGAATCGAGGCGGGGCCACTCGAAATGAGGACGGGACGACGGCTGACCTGGCAAGGGCCACCGGTGAAGCGGAAAGGGGACAGGGGTGACGAGGCTTGCCCGAGTCGCATGCATGGAAAGGAGCCCAAGGGTTGGGCGGTGCGAGAGGTAGTTGGCAGACCCCAAGGCACAGATTCACGAGGGGTGACAGGAAGCCAAAACTAGCACAGCAAGGACACCAATTCACTTTTGTTTGTCTTCTCGTAATTGTGGGAAAGCTTGTGATTCAGTTGTGATCTGTCGTCAAGCTGAGCAACTGCTAGATCCACGTCGGAGAAGCCAAACTAGTGCGGCCATTTGTGCCTAGGGAAGGAAACTAGCCACTCGCGTCGAGGGCTTCTTTACAAACAAAAGTCATGGCGGGCATGTCACTACGTAGTGGTGCCAAGCTGTCCGGAATGGGAGAACCACCGGAGAAGGAAGGAGTTCCGGCGGGGAACGAAGTGGAAGGAAGCCCGGGGGAGAGATCCGATCCCGAGCGAGTAACTGCCCGGAATGACGCCGAGGACAAGGGCCGGCGGGAAGAACGACGCGGAGGTGGTATGACCCCCCGCGGATCGGGACGATTTGCGATGCGCGCCGAGAGAACCCAGGGAGAGCTGTCGCCGTCAGAAGAACAGGCGACGGTGGCAGGGAGGGGCATCGCTGCGCCAGTTGCCAGATCAGAAGGAGGAAGGGGAGGGCAGATGACGCCATCCGGAAGCGGGAATTCAAGACGCTCGCTGTGGGAGGAGGGGTCACGCTACCGATACACCAGCCTCCCTAAGGTGGAGGTTCCGAGTCGCTTCAGTGGAGATCAAGAGTCGGGACCGAGAGTGAAGACCTACGCGATGCACGTGCGGAACGAGAAATACGGATGGGAGATGGACGGCCTGGATTTACGGCACTTCTTCAGATCTTTGGGGAACACGCTGGCGGGGGAGGCGGAAGCGTTTTACCTGGAGATTAGGGACCCGCTGCTGCAGGAGGAAGAGCGAGACGAGGAGGGCCGACTGCTACGGGACGAAGAAGGGAAGCCCATCCGCTTACGGGACCCGACGGAGCGCTTCCTGCAAGAATTGGCGGCGCACTTCCCCACGCAAACGCCGGCCAGGATGAGAGAGTTCGACCAGTTGAGACGAGGTTCACGAGAGTCTCTCCTGGGCTATTATCGGCGAGTGCATCAACTGGCGGAGGACATCGGCTGCAGCGAACCGCGTATTATAGTAGCCAAATTTTTGGACGGCCTGGCCGGAGAGCTAGCACGGACCGTGAGGGATCGGACATACGACCTGGGTCCCAACGCCACGCTGCGACAGGCGTATGAAATCGCATGGCGACACGAGCAGTCCCTGAGCCTCTATGACCTGGGGAGGAAGACCGAGAAGCCGCCCAGGGAGAGAGAGCGCAGGGGAGTCGGCTGGGGAGGGGCCCTACTGGCTGGGGAGGAGGCGGAAGAGGAAGACCAGGAAAGGGGTCGAGCCTCTAGGAGTCGGACGCGGAAGCCTCGCAGCGCGGCCCACTCTCCTGGAGAAGAGCCGGTCTGCTACAAGTGCCGGGAGCCGGGGCACTTCAAGAGGGACTGCCCCAAGCTGCAAACCTGCTCCTATTGCCAGAGAAAGGGGCATCAGGCTGACAATTGCTACACTAAGCAACGCGAGCAGAAGGGTCGAGGGGGAAGGAGAGGAAGGATCGAGGAGCTGGAAGAGGAGCTGAGGAGGCTTCGGGCAGAGGAAGAGGACACGATGGCAGAAGAGGAAAAGCCAGTCCACGTCGCAAGGTACGCGGAAGAGTCCGACGAAGAAGGACCGGAGCCCATCTTCATGGCGGCAAACCCGGGGAGGGAGAGGGAAGACCTGGGCCTGCGTAGTGGTGCCGCAGACGGCCGAAGGGGCACGGCGACAGTAAGGAGGGGACCGCGGGCAACAGTAGACGAGGCCGTAGAGGAGGCGGCAGGAGCAGCGGAAGAAGCAGTGCAGCGGGCGGTGGCCCGAATGGGGCCCAGGAGGCACCCGTTTGAGAGGATGGCGGCTCGTCCTTGCGTGGTGGAAGCGCTGGAGGGGACGGTAGCAGTGGAAGGGAAATACCCGGGCACAACAATTATTGATACCGGGGCGTCCCAAGTGCTGGTGGGAAGGCGACTGGCCGAAAGGCTGGGACTGCATCGGGCCGAGAATGTGACGCCGGAAGGAGTAAGGATTCAAACGGCGGAAGGAGGGGATGGAACATGGCTACCGAGAACCATCCGACCCCAAGAAGTGGTGTTGGCGCCAGGAAGGGCCGAAGAGACCAGAATCCGAGTACACTGTCTGGTATCCGACTCGGAAGACTATGACCTCTTGCTCGGTATGGAGCTCCTCTACAAGGTGGGGGCAGTGGTGGATACGTGGGCGGAGAGGGTCACCTACCAGCCACTGTATTGGGATTCAGAAGCGACCCGTGCTGGAGAGGAGGGAGCAGTCCTACCGGCGCGCTTTCTGCGAGGAAGGGTGGAGTATCGAGAGCCGCATCACCAGCGGGTGCCCGAGCAGCGATGGGAAGATGCGGGAGTGTACCTGGAAAGGGCAGCCAGTCGACGAAGAATGGAGGAAGCGGCTGGGGCGAGGGTGGAGGAACTGAGGGAGGCCAGAGGACTGGCCGAACCAGCCTATGACTTTGAAACTTTCAATCGGCCGGTACGGCTGGTGGAACTGTTCGGGGGTGTCGGCCCGGGGCTGGCCGCCTGTGTCCGTCTGGGCATGGTGGTGGAGCGATGGACCTACGTAGAGAAGAACCCAGAGGTCAGGAGGATGGCGATGCATCACGCGATGATACTGCACGAGCGATTCCCAGACAAGCTATCCAGAGACGTAGTCGAGCAGGCCCGGTTGGAGGCGGAAAGGATGAGCGATGTGACGGAGGTGACCGAGGAGGTGGTAGCAAGCTGGGGGCAAGTGGACCTGCTGGTGGCGGGATGGGAGTGTCAAGGCCTGTCCAGAGCAGGAAGAGGGAGAGGACTAGAAGACCCCAGGACGGCTCTATTCCAAGAATTAATTCGGGTGATGAAGCTAATAAAGCGAAGGCAAGGCCCGTTCTCGTACGTGGTGGAGAATCTTGACGTGGCGGATGATGAAAGGAGCTTAGTGAAGGAGGCGCACCGGGCGGTCACACGGGAGCTGGGCCATGGGGTAGCATGGGACGCAGCACAGATGGGTGCTCGGGCACATCGGATCCGGCGGTATTGGCAGAACATGGTCCCAGAACCAGTGCTGCGGGACCAGTTGGGTCGCATGCGCCGGCCATTACCCCTGCTGGTGCAGGATATCCTGGAACCGGGGAGGAGGGTGGCCCCAGTGGTCAGCCCGGACATAAGGACGCAGTACCCGTGTAACGAGGTGGGGGCACCACGGCAGGCCTGGCCAACTCTGGTGTCGACACCGGGGAGCTATGCCTTTAGCATGCAAGGGGATCAACCGGGACCGGGAATGGTACAGGTGCTGGCGACGGGGGAGTGGGAGGAGCCACTAGCAGTGGAACGTGAGAGAGCCATGGGCTATCTGCGAAACGCGACGGCGGCGGAAGGGGTGTCAGAAGAAGTGAGGCGGCAGGCGCTGGGAGGAGCTATTGACCAGCATGCCTTGGGATGGTTGCTGTATCGCGCTGAAAAGAGGCATGAAACGCTGAGAGCGCAGCTGCTCATGCTGCAGAGGTACAGGGACTTCATAGAGATGAAGGACACGGAACCGGAGATGGCGATGGAGGTGGCGGCTCAATGGAGGCAATCGGCAGTATATCAGAGGGAGGAGAGAGCGCGAGAAGAGGACCAGTTCAACCGTCAAGGGATGGTATTGATGGCAAAGGGAGCAAGGGCGGAGAGAAGCAAAGAGAACACTGAAGGAGAAGTAGAAGGAAGGGAGGAGGCACCGGTGGAGGGAGCACAGGACAGAGCCGGGGAGTGGCAAATGGGGGACGGTCTTAACGAGGGACAGAAGGAAAAGATGAGGAGAGTGTTGGGGGCAGCCAGAGGGGCATTTGCATTTTCTGTGAAGGAGTTGGGCAAGTGTAATCGGGCAGTGATGGACATAGAGCTGCAGAGCCAAGAGCCAGTGTACCAGAGGCGGAGACGGATGAGTCCTGGAGACCGAGACATTGCGGAGGAGAAGTGCAAAGAGCTGTTAGAAGCGGGATTGATCCGGGAATCCACCTCCGAGTACGCGGCAGCAACTGTGGTGGCAGCTCGCAAGGACCTAACAGGAGAGACGATATCAAGGCGGATGTGCGGTGATTACAGGGGATTGAATAGGGTGACCAAGAGCGACCGCTATCCCATGCCGGTGGTTGAAGAGCTCTTTGATGAGTTGTCGAAAGGACGGGTATATACCACGCTGGACCTGAGACAAGGCTTCAATCAGATACCTATCCGAGAAGCAGATAAGCACAAGACGGCCTTTCATGGTCCCGACAAACTTTATGAATGGAATTACATGCCCTTCGGTTTGAAGAATGCGTCAGCCCGGTTCCAGAGGGTCATGGATCAGGTGCTTCAGGAATTGCCGTGCGCCCTCTGCTACATAGATGATGTGATCATCTACAGCCCTGATGGGGAGCAGCATGTGGAGGATGTGGCCAAAACACTGAAGGCCATAGAGGCGGCTGGGCTGACCTGCCATCCCGGCAAGTGCACCTTTGGGGTACGAACGGTAGGGTATCTCGGGTTCCAAGTGGGAGAGGGCGGAATGACGGTCCAGCAAGCCAAGGTGGAAGTAGTGGACCGTCTCCAGCAGCCGACCGACCGAAGCATGCTGAGAGCGCAGCTAGGGTTCTTAAACTACTACAGGAAATTCATCCCAAACTTCAGCAGGACGGCGAAAGCACTGAATTTGCTGCTGAGGGAGGATGTCGCCTGGGAGTGGAAGGAGGAGCAAGAAGCTGCCTGGAGGGTGCTGAAGGAGGCAGTAAAAACCGCCCCTGTACTGCGGCTGCCAAGACAAGATGAACCCTTCCTGCTATACACTGACTGGAGTAGCGGGGGGTTGGGAGCGGTGCTGTGCCAATTGGAAGAGGGAGTGGAGCGGGTGGTGGCATACGCCAGTCGTTCCTGCAGCCCAGCAGAAAGCAACTACAGCTCCTACGAAGGAGAGGGGCTGGCAGCTGTGTGGGCAGTGGAGTTGTTTAGAACCTACCTCCAAGGGAGAAAGTTCACCCTCATCACAGATCACCAGCCCCTCTTGTGGCTGATGACTAATCAAACGCTGAGGGGAAGGAATGCAAGATGGGCAATGCGGTTGCAAGAATTCGATTTCGAAGTCAGACACCGCCCAGGGAAGACGCTCCAGCATGTCGACGGCCTGTCGAGGCAGGGGCCAGCGGTACCGAGTAAGGAAGGAGTGACCCCCGAGGCAGCACTGGTATACTCGGCAGTAGCCGCGGAGAAAGAGGGGTGGAGGAGGAGAAGGGATGCTGAGAAGGGGTGCGCAGAGATTTGGGAGGATAAACCAGTACTAGACTGGGTGCAAGGAGTGGGACCAGAGGGGCTGGAAGTGCCGGAAAGGGTGAGAGCTAGGGGCGTGCACTACAGGTGGCAGGATGACCAGCTGCAGTTGGTAACGGAGGATGGATGGAGAATCGTACCCAGACCTGGAGAGAGGAGAGATTTGATACTGCAGATCCATACGAAGTTCGGGCACTACGCCGTGGAGAGGACCACCCAGCTGCTGCAAACCATGTATTGGTGGCCAGGAATGAGAGGGCAGGTAAAAAGGGAGGTAGCAGAATGCGAGCCCTGCAGTAGGAATCGGGCGGTGCTGGAAAGGAGTAAGGCAGAACTACAGTCGCTGCCTATTGGGAGCATCGGCTACCGATGGTCGTTGGACTTGGCGGGGGAGCTGCCCTTGTCCAGGAGAGGGAAGCAGTTTATCCTGGTGATGATAGAGCACACTAGCAAATGGATTGAAGTGGCGGCTCTGTCGCGTAAGACAGCCGCATCGGTGGCAGAGGCTTTCGTGCAGCAGGTGCTATGCAGGTTTGGGGCGTGTGGAGAAGTATTGACTGATCAAGGGACAGAGTTCGCGGGAGAGTTTGAGGCATTACTGAAGGAAGTAGGTATAGTGCACAGAAGGACCTCACGGTATCATCCACAAGCGGACGGGCTGACAGAGAGAATGATTCAGACGTTGAAGAAAGGCCTGAGGAAGTATTGTGAGGAAGAAGAGAGGCGGGATTGGGACGTGAAATTACCGTGGGTGGCAGCAGGGTACCGTTTCAGCAAACAGCAAGCGTTGAAAAGCTACTCTCCTTACCAGCTGCTGTTCAGAAAGGAGCCCCTGCTACCCGTGGGAGCTCCTAAGGTCTTAAGAGAGGCGGTAGGAGACGAAGACCCCAACACCTGGGCGGCTGTCGCAGCGGCCAGGGCGAAGTATCTCCGGTCGATCATGCCGGCTGCACTGGAGAACCTGGAGGTAGCACAGATGAGAGATGCTCGCCGGTACAGTCAGAGGAGACAAGGGGGGAAGGAAGTCGTGAGAAAGGACAGAGGGGTGCAAGTAGGGGATGAGGTGTACCTGAGAGAGCGGCGGAAGGACACACTGGAGTGCGGGCTGAGCAAAGCGAAGTGGAAAGTGCGAGAGCTACGGGAATCAGGGGTGGTTCTTTTGGAAGACTCTCAGGGGAAGAGGGTGAAGGACCATATCTCCAATACTGCTAAGGCGACAGCATCACGACCTGTGGGCAGGGGCGCAGAACAGGTCGTGAGGGGGCATGACAGGGGTCCAGAGAGTATCATTACCTATAAGAGACGAGGAGGAGGTGTGCACAAGGAAGCGGGGAAGCAGGGAGAGAAGTAAGGATTAGAGGGCACAGAGCAAGAGAAGGACGGGAGGGCGGATCCACTGGGAGAGGGTGCGACAGCTGTCGCATGACTCTTGCGAATGAGTGCACAAAAGTTCATGAGACAGCTCCTAAGGTGAGTATGGTTGGGTAAATCGTAAGGGAAGTAGTATTGTTGTATTGTTGTTATAAATTGTACTGTAGAGTGTACGGGTAAGGGGGGGGGTTTTGTGGTGATATTAGAATTGTGGCAGGGATAGAGGAATCGAGGCGGGGCCACTCGAAATGAGGACGGGACGACGGCTGACCTGGCAAGGGCCACCGGTGAAGCGGAAAGGGGACAGGGGTGACGAGGCTTGCCCGAGTCGCATGCATGGAAAGGAGCCCAAGGGTTGGGCGGTGCGAGAGGTAGTTGGCAGACCCCAAGGCACAGATTCACGAGGGGTGACAGGAAGCCAAAACTAGCACAGCAAGGACACCAATTCACTTTTGTTTGTCTTCTCGTAATTGTGGGAAAGCTTGTGATTCAGTTGTGATCTGTCGTCAAGCTGAGCAACTGCTAGATCCACGTCGGAGAAGCCAAACTAGTGCGGCCATTTGTGCCTAGGGAAGGAAACTAGCCACTCGCGTCACTGCGTGACAGGGGTCCAGAGAGTATCATTACCTATAAGAGACGAGGAGGAGGTGTGCACAAGGAAGCGGGGAAGCAGGGAGAGAAGTAAGGATTAGAGGGCACAGAGCAAGAGAAGGACGGGAGGGCGGATCCACTGGGAGAGGGTGCGACACAGTGCAGTAGTTTCCTCTCCTGCACACGCTCACACGCCTGTGCCTTTTCACTGCCTCGTACGTGTACATACGCTGCATGCATCACACCATATAGTCGCACATCTCAAGAGTGCACATCTCAAGAGTGCACATCTCAAGAGTGCACATCTCAAGAGTGGACATCTCAAGAGTGCACATCTCAAGAGTGCACATCTCAAGAGTGCACATCTCAAGAGTGCACATCTCAAGAGTGCACATCTCAAGAGTGCACATCTCAAGAGTGCACATCTCAAGAGTGCACATCTCAAGAGTGCACATCTCAAGAGTGCACATCTCAAGAGTGCACATCTCAAGAGTGCACATCTCAAGAGTGCACATCTCAAGAGTGCACATCTCAAGAGTGCACATCTCAAGAGTGCACATCTCAAGAGTGCACATCTCAAGAGTGCACATCTCAAGAGTGCACTTCTCAAGAGTGCAAATCTCAAGAGTGCACATCTCAAGAGTGCACTTCTCAAGAGTGCACATCTCAAGAGTGCACTTCTCAAGAGTGCACATCTCAAGAGTTCACTTCTTCTTGCTTGCATTCGATCCAACCGTCATGCAGTCGCTGGCTTTTTCGTATCTTCTCCTGCTACCTTCCCAATGACACTACTTCACTTCCCTTTCCTTTGTCTCCCCTCACCGCACCACATTCTCAGCTTCCATTCCTCCTTGCTCCTCATCCTTATCATCATTTCCCCATCCCTGTCAGGTCTTCTGAATCGCCTGCTCTGGATGCAAGCCCATTACCCACTTCTACCCGGCCCCACTCTCTCCCACCTTCACTCTCCCCCGCTCCACTCCCCTACTTCCTCCGCCCCACCTCTCCCACACCACTCTCCCGTCCCTCTCGTCCCTCCCATCCCTCCTGTCCCTTCCGCCACTCATCGCTCCCACCCCTCCCATCCTACTCACCCATCTCACCCATCTCACCCATCTCACCCCTCTCACCCCTCTCACCGTGCACGTCCCTCTGGTGTGAGTGCTGGCCTGGCGTCCTCGGACGTGGCGCTGCTGTGCTCGCCTGTGTCATTCATCGATCATCTCACCGCCTCGCTTGCTGCTCTCCTCTTCGCCTCGTCGCTGCTGCTGCCGCCGCCTCGCCTGCTGCTGCACTCCCCCGCCTCGCTCTTGCGCATCCTGCAGGTCAGCACGCACACCGCACCGCAGCCCTGCGCAGGTGCAGCGTGGCACAGGTAAGTGTGGTGAGGTATTGTGAGGCGCGGTGATGCGGTGGTTTTTTAGCATTGTGAGGAACCATCCATCCCGGGAAGAGGTGGGGTTATAGGGATTAGCGGAGTGAGGAGCTCACTGCTTTCCAAGGTTGTTCATCAGCAGAGGTTGTCAGTGCACACAGCAGCGTGGCAGCGTGGCAGGAAGTGTTTATTTCCACATCTCGAGCTGTTGGGCAGTGCATTGTCTCAGAGTAGCCAACGATTTGCACTGCGTCTTGCTCAACGTCGTCGTATGGCCCCCGCCTCCCTTCACCCTCTCTGCGTGCAGTCCTTCCCTGTGACCCGCCTCGTGGCCTCACCCTCCCTGCTCAGCATCCTAGCTGCTGCAGCAGCGGCTGATATGGTAACACCCCTTACACAAGTGGTGGCAGCAGCAGCAGCAGCAGCAGCAGCAGGAGGGACAGAAGGGGCAGGATCAGCAGCAGCAGGCAAACCAGCTGATGCAGCAGCAGGTGTATCAAAGAGTGGAGGGCGCAGCGGCATGCAGGGATTGCGAGTGGTGGTGAGCAGTGGAGAGCCGTTGACAGTGGCTCTCGTGCACCAACTGCAACCCCTGCTGCACCCCTCATGCCGCCTACTCAACCTCTACGGCTCCACTGAGGTGACGTGCTCCCATGTGATGCGCCCACTGAGTTTTGAGACGTTTCAAAAGTCGTCTCTGAGGTGATGTGCGCCCGCCCATGTGATGCGCCCAACACAGAGGTACACTGAACGCCCACCCATGAGGTGGGTGCATGTTGGGGATTCTTTATGGGGAGGTGCTGCTTTTGAACACTTGGTCTGTGCACACGCTGACCATCCCTATACCCATTCCCATGCCCATGCCCATGCCTGTGCTCATGCCGTCCCCTATCTCCTACTCCTCCCACCCCACTTTGGTTTTATTCAACCTGCAGGTGTCGGGTGACTGTCTCTTCTTCGATGCCTCGTCACTGCTCGCCCACCACCGCCACTCTGCCTCTCCCTCCCCATCCTTGCCCATGCCTCCAATCACCAACCCTGAAACCAACACCACTAGTGCCGGCGGCAGCACCAGCAGCAGCACCATCAGCAGCAGCAGCACGGTTGCAGTGGTGCCGGTGGGGGTGCCGCTACCACACACGTGGGCAGCAGTGCTGGACCCACACACACTGCAGCCTCTCCCCCCCGCATGCATGGGCGAGCTCTATGTGGCTGGCGTGGGGCTCGCTGCAGGCTACCTAGACGACCTCGTGCTCCCAGGGGGAAGGGGAGGGGGGGAATCATCCCTTTACTCTGCTCCTCCTGCTGCTGCTTCTGCTGCCGCTCTTGCTAATGCTGCTGCTGCCCCCGCACCTGCTGCATTTCCTTCCGCTACTGCTGCGTTCGTCCCTGTCCCCGCCCATCTCACCGCCTCTGCGCGCGCTGCATTGCTCAGCCCCATCGGTGGCACTGCTGTGGGCTCTACAGAGGGCGAGGGCGCAGGGGGAAGGGTGAGTGGCGGAGAAAATGGGAGAGGCACGTGCGAGTGGGAGGGGGGTGGGGAGGAAGCGGGTGGATGCGCTAGGGGGGGAGGTCCTGTGATGATGTATCGCACTGGTGATGCTGCTGCGTTTTTTCCATGCCCCTCCTCACACCCCATGCGTCACCACCGCCCAGTGGACAAGGGGCAAGAGGGGTGTGAGGGGCAAGGGTTGCGTGAGGGGGAAGAGCGACGTGAGGGGCAAGGGTTGCGTGAGGGGCAAGAGCGACGTGAGATGCAAGAGCGACTTGAGGGGCATGAAGGCCATGAGCAGGGGAGGACGGGTGGGGTTTTTGTGGTGTACGGGCGGCAGCAGGGGCAGAGGGTGGTGAAGGTGGGGGGTCGCAGGGTGCATCTGGGGGAGGTGGAGGCTGCCTTGCAGCTCCACCCTGCTGTGGCCCGCGCTGCTGTCAAACTCTGCCCGCTCCATCACCCTCCTCCTCCTCCTCCTCCTCCTCCTCCTCCTCCTCCTCCTCCTTCATCTCCCGGACTACCTTTGCCCCCCATTGAGTCTCCCTCCCTTAGAGTGCCTCAGCTTGTGGCGTTTGTGCAGTGGAAGCAGTGGGGGCAGAGCAAGGAGGGCAAGGGGGGAAACGAGAAGAATGGAAGGAAAGAGAGCAAGTCTAGGAGCAGAATGCAGCAACGCAGTGAGCATGAGTATGAGCATGGCCCTGTTACGTCCCTGCATGCACAGCCGCCGCGCACACTGGCCCTGGCACAGCGGAAGGCGGCTTTTGAGAGCCCTTGGAGCACGCTTGTGACACAGCAGCAGAACGCACAGCCACAGCAAGAGGCGCAGGCTGAGGCAGCGTTAGGTGCAAAGGCAGATACCACAACAGTGACAGCGACAGAGGTAGCGGCATCGGCAGCCGCAAAAGCAACAATTGAGGAAAAAGGGGAGGAAGGGGAGGAAGGGGAGAGCGAGGAGGCGATGATAGCAGCACTGGGGTCCCGGCTGCTTGCATGGGCACGGGGACAGCTGCCAGCCGCTCTCATCCCCGCTCGCATCGTCTCCCTGCCTGCCCTGCCACTCTCTGCCACTGGTAAGGTCGACCTTTCCGCCTTGGCCCTGCCATGCCCCACAGCCACTGAAGGGAGGAGTATGCGACAGGGAAAGGGTGAGCGAGGGTCGAGGGAAATGCTAGCGGTGGCGGCACAGGAGGGAGCTGAGCAGCAACGTGGGTGGAAGGGGGGCGCAACGGCAGGGAGTGGCAGGGAAGCAGCAGCAGCAGCAGAAGCAGGAATGTCAGGTTATGGCAGCGTTACTCTTGCGCGCATACAGGAGGCAGTGGCCTGCTCGTTGCAGATACCACCCTCCCTGGTTGCACCTGACTCTGATTTCTTCTCCCTGGGTGCGTCGTCTCTCTCCCTTGCCCTCGTGGCACTTCGCCTGGGCGTCACCCTGCCGATGCTGCTCGCCTTCCCCTCGCCTCTGCGCCTCATGCATGCGCTGAGGGGGGAAGGAGGTGGCAGGGGGGTGCTGGAGGGGCGTGGAGGGAGGGAGGGGTTCGTGAAAGGGAGAATTGAGGAAGGGAGAGTAGAGGAAGGGGGAATTGAGGAAGCGAGAATAGAGGAAGGGGGAATTGAGGAAGCGAGAATAGAGGAAGGGGGAATTGAGGAAGCGAGAATAGAGGAAAGGGGAATTGAGGAAGCGAGAATAGAGGAAGGGAGAGTAGAGGAAGGGAGAATCGGGAAAGGGAGAATAGAGGAAGGGAGAGAAGTGGAAGGGCAAAGGGAGAAAGGGAGAGAAGTGGAACGGAGAGCAGAGGAAGGGAGAATAGTGGAAGGAAGAATTTTGGAAGAGAGAGAAGTGGAAGAACGAGGTGATTGGTGGGGGGAGAGGAGAGAGGGAAGGGCAAATGGGAGAGGAGACGTTGGAAGGGCAGAGGAAGCCAAGGGGAGTGCAGGAGGGCGAGGGGTGAAGCGGAAGAGGAAGGAGATAAAAGGCACGATGGATGTCAACGCTGCCGTGGCTCTAGTGGATAGGGACAGCACGATGCTGAGAGATACTGGCACAGGCGGTGAGCAAAGTAGAGCAGTAGCAGCAGCAGCGCTTGTGAGTGTGACACGAGCAGGAGGAGTAAGCGTGTGGGACAGTGGAGGCGTGCTGGTGTGGGGGAGTGAGGAGGGAATCGTAGGTCTAGATAGAGGCTTTTCAGCAGCAGCACATGTACCAGCAACAGCAGACACATCAGCAGCCGTAGAAGCAGCAGCAGCAGCACCAGCAGCAGCAGCACCAGCAGCAGCAGCAGCAGCAGCAGCAGCAACAGCAGCAGCAGCAACAGCAGCAGCAGCAACAGCAGCAGAGAGACCAACTGTCACTGCTTCCACTACCGCCCCCGCTGGTGGTGCTGGGAGTGCAAGCAATGCGGGCAGTGGTGGTAGTGGTGGCAGTGGTGGCAGCAGCAGGGAGTGCATGGAAGTGCAGTGGAGTATGGGCACAGGAGCATGTGTGGATGCATCACCTCTCCTTGTGTGTGCCAACGGCACATGGCTCTGTGTCATTGCATCGCACTCTGCCACTGTCCTATGCTGTAACCTCAGGTGTGTGCTGCCATACATGCTGCTCATGCCTTTCCCACCCACCTCCTCTCAAACTTCTCCCATACACACTGTGCCCCGCCCTCCATTTGTTGCCAAGTTCCCTGTCTGTTTCTGCCTGGTCATTCGCCCCATCACTCCCTCTCAACCGCACTCTCAAGTCCCCTCACTCCGCTCTCACTCTTCCCCTCGCTCCTCCCCCCGCCCACCCCACCCGCCCATCGCCCCTCATCCACCTCTCCCTGTGGCGTGCGGTCACCATGCAGTGGCAAGGAGGTGTGGCGCACAGCCGTGGGCGACAGGGTGGAAGCCAGTCCTGTAGCCATGCTGCTGCTGCCTCCGCACACAGCAGCAGCCACTGCCAGTGGAGGGGCAAGCGCGTCTCAAGGCACGGCAAAGGAATCGGGAGGAGAGCAGCAAGGAGGAGGCGTTAGAGGCGTTGACGACACCAGCAGCAGCGAATCGCCTCTGGTGTGTGTGGGGGCACTGTGGCTGGTAAAAAGCTCGTCTTCTTCCGGTATATCGCCTTCAATGGAGGTCTACCTGCACAGAAAACCTCCGTTCCGTTCCATTCCATTCCATTCCATTCCACCTGCACTGCACCGACCTGCACGCTCTCAGCCTGCCCATCTCTCTTAACGTGCTCCTTCCTTTGCAAAGTGTTGCTTCCCTGCCCTTCATTGGCCGTGTCCTCCTTCTCCCCCACACCACGTGGCAGGTGGTGGTTGGTTGCTATGATGGTGCGATCTACTTCCTCCGCTTGTTGGATGGGTCACTCTATTGGAAGTACCAAACACATGACCAGGTTGCCACTCCGCACGCTTGCATTCCCACATGCCCACATGCCCACATGCTCCCATGCCCACACGCCCCCGCGCTGCACTCGCGCATTCTTTCACGTGCGCACGATTCTTTTTTTTGGAAAGCACATGTGCTAGCGTTTGTTCAGAGCTCGTATGCCCCGTGTCGTGCTCATGGTCCTGGGAATGTGTGCTGCTGTGCGGATGTATGCACATTGTGCGAGTGGCATGTGCATGATTGCATGTGCGTGTGGGCATATGGGCATGTGTGCATGTGTGCATCTATGCATCCATGCATGTGCAGGTCAAATGCACACCCTTGGTTGACCCATGGCGCCCTCACCTCCTCTGGTATACCCTCGGCTTGGTTCTTCCCTTCATTACCTTGCCCTTGAACTGAACCTTCTCTGTGGAACCGTCTCTCAAATTTCTCCCTTCGAAGCCTTCTCCTCGAAATTAACCCTCCTTTCTTGCTTCTCTGCCAGGGCTGACCCGTGTGCCCCTTTAAAGCACGTCAACCCCTGGCTTGGGAAGAGTAACATTCACTCAAACAGCCCACTTAGTCAGAAACCGACCCAGCAAGTACGCAGCCTCAGCCCCCTTAGAAGTTTCAACCGCTCACTTTTCCGCCACTGCGTTCAGTCCTATGGATACCCACTCCTGCTCAGCCCCAAGCAAGCTCGTTCACAATTCCCCACATCCCCACCCTGCCTTCCACCTCCTCTCATCCCCCCTACCCGCTCTTCCCTCCCCCATCCCCTTTCCCCGCTCCCCCCTCCCCCCGCCCCCATCCAACCTCTTTGTACGCAGGTGCGGATCCCATGATAGGCACATTTATGTGCTTCATGCTGCCCTGCGTTGCTGCCTCTGGCGCCTTTCCCTCTCCCCTCCTGCTGCCTTCTTTGCCTCTCCTGTTGCCCACCTGGTATGTGCATGCAGGGAAACATGCTGCCATGACATGCCTTCACCCCCGTGCCATGCTACATGATGCCATGAGATGTCATGCCATGCCGTATCAGGCCATGCCATGCCATGCCACACCGCACCATGCCATGCCATGCATGCCATGCCATGCCATGCCATGCCATGCATACCATGCCATGCCATGCATACCATGCCATGCCATGCCATGCCATGCCATGCCACGCCAGGCCATACCATACCGTGCCATGCCACGTCGCACCATACCATGCCATGCCATGCCATGCCGTGCCGTGCTATGCCATGCCGTGCCGTGCCGTGCCGTGCCGTGCCGTGCCATGCCATGCCATCATGACTGCTGGGTAGACGCATCCCCCCATGCATCATGGTCATGCACGCTCATGTACAAGTGCGAACTCTCCTTAGTACCCTGCCCTCCCTTATTCTTCCTCCCCCACACCACTCGTCCCTCTTAACCCCCTCGTGCCTCCCATCCCGCTCTCTCCGCACCCACCCCTCCCTCGCGCAGCCATCTCGGCATGTCATCATAAGCACCACATCCCCACGCGGCACTGTAGCTGCCTGCCGTTCCTCTCCCTCCTCCTCCTCGCCCTCCTCCCCCACGGCTTCCCCTACTCATCCCCGTGCCGCTCGCACTGCCTGTGGTAGTAGCGGGGGGGTGGGGATTGGTGCAGACAGTGGCATGGGGAGAGGGAGCGAGGGAAGTGGGAGGAGCGGATGGGGGGGAGGGGTGGCAGCGCATGGGTTGGCAGTGGTGTGGCAGCAGGCAGTGGGTGCGCCAGTGTTCTCCACTCCTGCCTGTGTCCGTGGTGCGCATTCCTTTCCTGTGCCATGTCTATTGCCTTCTCTCCTTGCATTCTCTCCACTTGCCTTTTCTCCTTGTATCTTCACCACCTCTTGCCACCGTGCTGCACCACACAATGGATTTTGGATCTATGCAACCCATAAGCCTCGGTTACAGTGTGTGGCGTGTGTGGCATGTACGTGCGGTGTGCGTGCGGTTGTGTGTGTGTTTTTGTGTGTGTGCGTGTGCGGTGTGTGTGTGAGTGTGTGTGTGTGGCGTGTGGCGTGTGTGTGCGGCGTGTGTGTGTGCGGCGTGTGTGTGTGTGTGGTGTGTGCGTGGTGTGCCTGTTGCGTGTGTGCTCTGTGTGTCTCCTGTGGTGTGCAGAGCACGTGGTGGTTGCCACCGTGGCTGGCACTGTAGCAGGAGTCAATGTGTCCTGTGGTCGCATAGACTGGCAGGTGACTTTTGTCCTGCTCACAAACTATGCATGCACCCGTGCACACACACACACACACACACACACACACACACACACACACACACACACACACACTGCATACGTGCACAGCCGTATGCATTCGCTTCATTAAGTTCGAGTCAAAGCTCCGTTCATGCAGTGTCCCTGCCCCTCTATCTCTCCCTCGCTCCCTTCTTCCATCATTCCCTTCATCTTTCCACATGCACTGCTGCTGCTGCTGCCGTATCATAGCTCTGCTGCTGATTCCATCCATCCCTCCCTCCGTCCACATGCTGCTTTTTACACGCTCCTTTTTCCCCTCCCTGCCTTACCCCGCTCCCTGGTTCTTTGCATCAGGTGGCAGTGGGAGCGCCAGTGTTTGCACCCGTGGCACACATGGGCAGTGCAAGGAGTGCATGGCCCGTGCAACATGTGAGAAAAGAGGGAGGGCAGGTTGCGTTGGGGAGCGAGCAATGGAGTGGGAGGGCAGTGGGAGGGCTGGTGAAAGGATGGTCGAAAGGGGGAACGGGCTAGGTAGTCTAGTGAAGCTAGGTGCGCACTGCAATTTAGTTCTAATAGGTGGCCTAGGGTGCACGTGTGTGTGCGCACGCGTGTTGGTGCGTGTGTGCATGCCTGTGCGTACATCCCACGTCTTATTCCTGCAAGTTTTGTTCCTGCCTGTGCCTTGCATCATGTTCCCATCCCTGCAGGTGCTTGTAGCTGTGCAGAATGGGGCCGTTCTTTGTATGGATGGGGTAAGGCCATGCACGCACACATGGGTGGGTTCATGAAAAGGGGCACTTCGAGTGTTGCATGTGTCGAAAACATGGGTAACATGTGTCGTCTCGGTATGAAATATCTGCGTCAGAGAGTCATCATTACTGACACATGCGTCATCTCATCTCATCATGTCCCCGAAAGTCAAGCAGTCTTATCACATCCTTTTCGTATGCCATGCATGAATTGGCATGCTCCCTGTCGAAAGCTTCTCTCCTCTACTCGTGACATTTCACCACTGGTTTGGTTCTTCCCAGGCCACAGGGCGTGTTCACTGGCAATGGCAAGTGCCTGCAGCCCCACATCATGCGCCTTCTTCGAAACCTCCCACCCTTTCCATTGCCGCCGCTGTGTGTCGTGATGTAAGCTCTCTGTTTCCACTCCCTGGAGAAATGCCTGGGGCTATTCAACAGCTCGTTGAATTACACCCTAGCGCAACGATCCAAGAGTGTGTGACGCGTCCATCTCATTTCCGAGTGCTTGTTGCTACCACAACCGGTAGGCTCTTTCTGCTTTGTGTGCCTAATGTGATTCATGGGCATAGTGGGTATCAGCTGGCACCTGTTGTAGGGCCTGTGGAATGGGGGAGAGGAGGGGATGATGCAATGGATATGCATGTATATGTTGAAAGCAGCTTGGAGTTGCCTGGTGAAGTATTCTCATCACCGGTGCTTGTTGGAGGTTTAGCACTTGTGGGTTGCCGAGATAATAACATGTATTGCATGAAAATAATGGATGACCGGGTGCTATGATTTGTTCAGCTGATGCTTTTAGCTTGCACTCTTGTATTGTCACAATATCAGTGGTTGTTTGTTACGGGTGCAATTGAGTGAGCGAGCGAGAATTGCACTGACGAAGCAAGAGTACAATGAGCGAAGGCATGAGTGAAGAATACATAGCGAAACTACAGTGGTAACGGTAATGGACTGTGGTTGTCGCGCAACGGGCCTGGGACTGAGGTTTGGGAAAATGTCGAAGCGGAGGCCTGGGGCACGGGTTACCCGCCGAGCCGTGAGGTCGGGGTGCGACGTGCGAAGGTGGCGGGAGGATTGTTGATGCGAGGATGTGCGAGTGGTAACGGTGCTGGCTGTGGTGCTACAATGGTGTACGCGCTGAGCGAGGACGCCAAGGAAAAGGAATTTTCCTTACATCGTTTAAAAAGTAGTAAAAAGCTACGGTGTAGTCTGCACTCTACGACTGTATATCGCTTCGATTGTGGTCCCACTGCTGCTGCTGACGTGTGTTATCGGAGTTGACGATGGCGCCCAAGCCCAAGCCACCTGCACCTTTCCCTCCAAGCTCCATCCTCCTGCAGATCATATCCAACCCACCCTATTGATTCTACTGCCGCATTTCGCGCTGAAAACATTCCGGTCGCACCTCCGATAGTCCCTGCATTCTGCAATCTTCATCGTGACCAGTGACCACTGCATGCTTCAAGCATTCCACCGCTAGCTACAATGCTTTTATTGTCAGAGGTCCACTGGAGATCCCCGATTGATCCTAGGGAAGGGTTACAGGCATGTTGGCCTGGGGGGTTATGGGCGCACTGACCCGCTACTTAACAAGCCCTTTTATCCCAATGGTCTAGTGGTTGGGATTCTGACATGGTATCAGAGCGGTCTCGGGTTCGAATCCCAGTGTGTGCACTTCGGGCATCCCAGTGCGGGGGGGTGTCAGAGGTCCACTGGAGATCCCCGATTGATCCTAGGGAAGGGTTACAGGCATGTTGGCCTGGGGGGTTATGGGCGCACTGACCCGCTACTTAACAAGCCCTTTTATCCCAATGGTCTAGTGGTTGGGATTCTGACATTTATAACCCATCTAGGCATCATTCAGGCTTTCATTATTCAGGCATTATACGACTTATTGCTGCTCCCACACCCAGATGCGGTCGGTCCCGGCTTTTACATAATAGACTCCCTTTGCTGCTACGAACTGCTGCAAATTTCCTCCTGTAAAGAATGGATCCGTTTGGTATCCGTGGGTAAATAGGTTTGTTAGTAGGGGACTGGTCTGGGCGAGTAGTATTGCGTGGATCTGGGCAGTGGGGCGGGTCAGTGCGTCGGCGATGTTCGAGGCTCCCTTTTTGTAGGTGACCATGTAGTGAAAATTGGACTCGAGAAAATCGAGCCAGCGAATCTGACGTGGGTTGAGGTGTGGCTGTGCGCGAAGGTACTGTAGTGATTTATGGTCTGTCCGTACTGTCACGTTTGCGCCGGTCAAGTAACAGCGCCACACTTTGAACATGTGCACGATCGCAAGCATTTCGCGGTCGTGTATCGGGAGATTTTTTTCGGGCGGATGCTGTTTTCGTGACTCGTATGCGATGGGCTGTAGGCCGTTTCCGAAGTCCTGTAGCAGTACGGCTCTGATGGCGATGTCGCTTGCGTCGGTAACCACTTCGAATGGGCGGTGTGGGTCGGCGATGCGCAGGAAGGGCGGTGAACAGAGAACATTTTTTAGGGCAGAGAAAGCAGCGTGCTCTTTCTCCCCCCACGTAAAAACGACCCCCTTCCGTAACAAGTCCGTCAGCGGCGCAGTTAACCGTGCCATGTCGGGGACGAACCGACGTACGTAGTTTACGAACCCAAAAAGCTCTGTAGTTCCGTGATATTCGTCGGGGGGTGCCAGGCTTTCACCGTGTCTAACTTCTTTGGGTCAATTTCGATCCCAGCTTCCGAAATAACGTGCCCCAAAAACTCTAACCTATCCTGAAAGAGCTCGCACTTGGAACCCTTTCTTAGTAGCCGATGCGCGTCTAAAATATGAAGTACTGCTTCCAGATCTGCTAAGTGCTGCTGCTTATCGCGACTGTACACGAGGATGTCGTCGAGGTAAACTATCACGCATTAATCTAAAAGTGGCCTAAGCGCCTCGTTCATGGTCATCTGAAATGTTGCTGGTGCGTTGGTCATCCCGAAAGGCATCACGGTGTACTCGAGTGACCCGTACCTAGTCCGGAAAGCTGTTTTGGCGCAGTCCGATGGTTCGACCCTAATCTGATGGTAATCTGATGGTCTAATGTTTTGTCGTCCGGTGCGGCGAACGGTGACGAGCTCAGTCAGATGAATTCCTGTCAGAATCCCAACCACTAGACCATTGGGATAAAAGGGCTTGTTTCAGTAGCGGGTCAGTGCGCCCATAACCCCCCAGGCGAACGCGCCTGTAACCCTCTCCAGGATCAATCGGGCATCCACAGTGCAGATCTACTGACAATTCCTTCTCTAACAGGTACTCTAACTGCTTCCTCAGTTCGTCGAGCTCAGGCTGTCTCAGTCTGAACTGGCGTTGTACAGTTGGTTGTGCCCCCGGTTCTAATTCTATTCGGTGGTCATGTGCTCGCTGAGGTGGCAGTCCTTCCGGTAAGTCGTCAAGATAAATCCCGGGGTATCGTTTCAACAGTTCCTGTAGTTCGGGCGGTACTGCTGCCAACAGTTTCTTGAAATCACTTGGCTGCTCCCTCTACCATTTCAATGTCTACTGCGTACACGTCAGCTCCAGCAGCGACAACCCGTTTCATGGTGACGGCATTGACGTGTACCGTTGAAGACTCGGGCGACTGCCAGCGAGGTAACTCGACCCAGTTACCGCTACTTCGCACAGTGCAGCTACCCGTCGTCCAGTCAATTCGCGGGTTATACCGTCGTAGCCAATCACGTCCCGGTAAAATGTCGTGCCCATCTAGTGTTGTTGCGAGTATTTCCTGTGTAAATCCGAAATTCCCCCCGCAGCGGACTTTGACTCTCTCCACCCTTTCCCGTATGGCCAGTGGCGTGCCGTCGACAAAGCGTGCGTCCATTTCAGGCAAACAACGCCTACGTGTCAGTTGCAGTTTTCGGGCGGTTGCGGTATTAACTAGACTGTGACTTGCTCCTCCGTCGATAAAAACTTCTGCTGCTCCCTGTATTTTCCCGTGGATCAGTACTGGGCAATCCGTCGCTATACCCTCTTTATTCGTCCGAGTCCGATCGATGGCATGAATCGGTACTGTGACTCGGTGAGGGTCGGTGGGGTTGGGCGAGCAAGCAGTCTCGTCAGTAGTTGGCCCGATTCCTACTGAGTGCTGGCGTTTCCCTGCCTTGGAGACTCCCTCCCCTGCTCTGCTCCGCGGTGCCGTAGCTCCTCTGGGCATTCACTCTTGCGATGGCCCAGCCTATTGCAAGCAAAGCAGCGCCCCTTAAACGACGCGGGAGCTGCATTCGTCGCAACAGCGTGTACGGTGGCGTGCTCGATTGGTCCCCGAGGACGATGTCCGTAGTAGGACCCCGGTCTCGGACGGCGTAAAATGTCGATTTTCTCGGCGAGCGCGAGAATCTCGTTGAAGTTTGAGAGCCCGCGTAGCATGATCTCGTGCGAGATGTCCGGCTTCAGCCCTCCGACGTAACGGTCCACCCGCTCTGCTTCGTGCATGTAGCTGACTTGCTCGCATAATGCGAGAAAACCTCTCGTATAGTCTTGAACCGACCCGAGTTGCCGCCAAGTGCGCAATCTCTGACGCGCCGAAATAGAAGCCGCGATCGGCTTGAAGCGCGCCCGAAGCCCTGCGCACCACGCATCCCACGTGCTGTATTGGGCGGTTTCGCAGAATGAACTCCATGTGACAGCTGGACCCGTGGGCCCTTCCTCTTGCACGGTGGCTTGTAGGCGCGTGGCGACGTCACGATGACTCGCCACCAGTCCATGGCGGGGCCCCTCAGCAGCGAAACGGCATATCGGATCTTCGCTGCGTCCGACTCGACGTAATTCGCATCGAAGAAGACGTTCATCGTGAAGACCCACGATTGAACCGTCGGACCTCCACGCTGGCTCGGGTCGAAGCAGGGCGGGCGTTGCGGCTTGAGTGGCATTGGTGCCATAATGGCCTGTTCGCCACTTGTCGCCGCGGACTCCACGTGCTGACGGGCTTCACGAGGCTCCCGCGGGCTTGGTGCGACCCTGTTCCCTCCCATGCCAGGCATCGGCTGGGCGGCGCCATCACTGGCTGCGCCTGAGCGCTGTCCCACGCTATCGTATTGTGTTGGTGTGCCGGACGAAATGACGATCGGCTCGTCCGATTGTGCAGATGCATTTGTCGGTGCGTGTGGTGGCGTTGGAGTGTTCACTGTGGATTGATGACGCGCGGAGTCACGTTCCGCCGTGAGCATCGCAATTTCGAGCGCTGATTCTTCAACTTGGCGCACCAGACGGTCTATCTGGTCCTGCGTCAATGTTGCGAGTGTGAATTCGGCCATGGCAGGGGTGTCGGGCAAGCTCAGCGAGAGCCTCTGTCGTGGCCGTGCATGCTTACGAGAGAGCACTACGAGCGGCGGTGCTGTGTCGCTGAGAGACGTCTACCCCTCCCAAAAATTGAGATAGTGAGGAAGCGAAGGTGTGGGTGCGGTCCGAGAAGGGATTGTAGGCCCTGATAACCAAGCGTTACGAGTGCAATTGAGTGAGCGAGCGAGAATTGCACTATTGAAGCAAGAGTACAATGAGCGAAGGCATGAGCGAAGAATATGTAGCGAAACTATCGTGGTAACGGTAATGGACTGTGGTTGTCGCGCGACGGGCCTGGGACTGAGGTTTGGGAAAATGTCGAAGCGGAGGCCTGGGGCGCGGGTTACCCGCCGAGCCGTGAGGTCGGGGTGCGACGTGTGAAGGTGGCGGGAGGATTGTTGATGCGAGGATGTGCGAGTGGTAACGGTGCTGGCTGTGGTGCTACAGTGGTGTACGCGCTGAGCGAGGACGCCAAGTAAGGAAAAGGAATTTTCCTTACATCGTTTAAAAAGTAGTAAAAAGCTACGGTGTAGTCTGCACTCTACGACTGTATATCGCTTCGATTGTGGTCCCACTGCTGCTGCTGACGTGTGTTATCGGAGTTGACGATGGCGCCCAAGCCCAAGCCACCTGCACCTTTCCCTCCAAGCTCCATCCTCCTGCAGGTCATATCCAACCCACCCTGTTGATTCTACTGCCGCACTTCGCGCTGAAAACATTCCGGTCGCACCTCCGATAGTCCCTGCATTCTGCAATCTTCATCGTGACCAGTGACCACTGCATGCTTCAAGCATTCCGCCGCTAGCTACGATGATTTTATAACCCGTCCAGGCATCATTCAGGCTTTCATTATTCAGGCATTATACGACTTATTGCTGCTCCCACACCCCGCGACCAGCTGCTGATTATGGCCTCGCCACCTCAGGCTACGCTAACCCCGCCGCTGCCATGGGAACAGATCGTATCAGCGGTTCGGCCCGTCATCCGCTCCGTCGCGGCTGTTTCCTCCGAAGCCATCGCGATGCTTCCGGAGCTCTCAGAGGCGTTCCGCCAGTCCTCTTCCACTTCCACCCGCCAAGCGGTCGCCGCCGTTCGCGCCGCAACCGACGCCGCGGCTTCCGCGACGAGTCGAATACGTCGCTCGGCTGTTGCCGCTGGCTCCAAATCCCTCGAGTCGATTACCGCTGCGGCTTCAAACCTCGTGAAACCGCCGGCTGCGCCTCCCGTTCCCCTCCTCCCGCCTCTAACCACAAAGAATCAGGAGTCCAGTGGATGCTCGGGATCAGCCTCGGAAACGCGTTCGGCGAATACCGTGAGCTTCGTTCGGATGGTACCGCGTAAGAACCAATCAGCGACCACGAGTTCAGCAGCATCAGCAGCAGCAGAAACGGTATCCGAGTCTGCTCCTTCGTCCTTAGGATCTACACCAGTGACCGCTGCCGATGCCATCTCGTATCTGCAATCGCCTTTTAAGCCGCCCCGTCACGTCTCGTCCGCGGCCACGTCAGCAGACGCTGCGTCAGCTCCTTCGGATCTTGCTGGGCCCACCACCGAGTCCGAAAAAGCAGGAACAACCAGAGCAGCAGGAACGGGTAAAGTAGCAGGAATAGCAGGAACAGCAGGAACAGCAGGAATAGCAGGAACAGCAGGAGCAGCAGAAGCAGCAGGAGCAGGAGGAGCAGCAGGAGCAGCAGAAGCAGGAGGAGGTGGTGACAGCAGAGCAGCTGTGGCAGCGTCGGGGACCAAAGCAGCCAGAAGAGCAGCGAAGAAAGCTCGGGCAGGCGCTTCTGTGGAAACAACGGGAATTTCGCGAGCTACGGCAACAGCCACGACGGAAGGGACGACGGCAACAGTGATTGCGACAGCAGTAGGAGCAGCAGCGGAAGGAGCAGCAGCGGGAGGAGTAGAATCAGCAGGAGCCGCCGCTGTGAAACTGGCACAACCGGTAACGGGTCAACCAGTCGCTGCAGCAGCCGACACTCCCACTATGGCCACTGCAGTCAACGCTGCTGCCACTGCTGCCACCGTCGCTCCTGCCGCTCTCCCCACCTCCCCTTCCGCCGCCTCCCCGCCCCTGCCGTCACGGCCACTATCTCACCATCTGGAGGGTCGTGGGGTGGGCACTAGCACCAAAGCTACCACAGTAGCAGCAGCTTCTGGTAGTGCAGCAGCAGGAAGCGATTCAGCCCCAGCCTCCCATCCGCACCCCTACGACCCACACCACGACACCCTCCGCCACAGTCATCACCACCAGCACCAGCACCACCACCATCACGAGCACCACCATCACCATCACGAGGCGGCGGCGGCGCAGCCTCTGATAACGCAGCAGCAGGTGCAGGAGTGGGTGCATGAGGCGAGCGGCATCCTGGGGGCCATCCGGCGACTAGGCCTGCCTGCAACGAGCTGGCGCAACAAGATGCCGTACCGTGTGCCCCGCGCAGAGCCGCTTGCTCGAGGCCTCAAGTGGCCGGAGCAGCACGAGTTTGCGAACGAGCACGAGAAGCGCGTGTTCCTGCGCAGCCAGCGGCGGCTGCAGCCGTTCCTGCTGGGGGACATCCCGCAGTGGTCGTGGTTCGCTGCAGACGTGGCGCTGCTCTTCTTCCTCACGTACGAGCCGCGCTGGCCCTGGGCGCTGGACTGAGCAGCGTTCTGCTGTGAAGTGAGATGGCGCAGTGTGACTGACATGGCCTGATGTGACATGGCCTGGTGTGGCATGGCCTGGTTTGACATGGCCTGCCTGGTGTGACATGGCATGGGTGGCATGGCATGAATAAGTGTGGCTTGGGGTGGGGTGGCGTGGCTTGGTGTGGTTTGGTGTGGTTTGATATCATGCCGTGGTTCTTCATGTTGTGATTTGTTGACAGCTGCACTCTTTGTTGTGTTATGATGATAATGGATCTACTGCGGTGTATACCCGTGTTGAGGATCACTTGCATAGGGGAAGGATCGGGAGCAGGAGAGGGGAGGGGGCAGAGGGAGGTCAGACAATTATGGTAACTTGTAGTGGATGGTTGCGATAGGGCCAGGAGGGTGTTATTCATGGTCATGGAGGATGCAGTAGAGCATCGGATCGGATACAGCTTGGGGTAGCACTGACTGCTGCACAAGGGCTGGGCTTAGGGTTTCACGCATAATTTCTTATTCAAGAAACCCACAACACTTTCATCGTGTACAATCATCACCGTACCAACCATTTGATCCACAAGGCCCTGTTACCGGTAATCCATTCTTTTGTAGTTGCATTGCATCATGAAAGATTCAGCATGGGTTCATCGCAGCGACATGACTCAGTCTTGCTACCATACATAGCCATATGCACCAAATAGGTACCTATGCACTAGGTGGGATGAACACCGTATTGCTTACCTACTGAGAGCTTATTCCTATCCTCGTATCAAGAAAACCTCATATCAAGATTGTACTTTTTGCCTGGTAAAAGTAGCGAGAGGTTTTGGGTTTAGGGGAATTTTCAGTGGGAGGTTGATACGAGGTTTCATTGATTCGAGGATAGGAATACGCTCTAAATGAGTGAAGTTTGCAAGTTGCAACTAGCTGCAGTGTACAAACCAGTTGCAACGAGTCAGTCAGCCAGTAGCCAAGCTCTCAGTACGAGGAAACACAACACATGCCTACAGGCTACTACCGCAAGGTCTCCCCTCCACTCCACACACACCGCCAGCCCCCATGCGGCCCGGGCATCAGCGCGCGGCGCTGCGCTCCTTGGCCTGCATCTCCTGCTGCTGCCAGTGCCCCGGCCCGTGCCCCTCCAGCCGGAACCCCTCTTCTCGCTCCACCACCACTGCGGTCGCGCCGCCACCCCCGTTGCACACCGCTGCCACGCCACGCTTGAGCCCCGTGGCAGCCAGGCAGGAGAGCAGCGACATGAGCACCCGTGCCCCTGATGCGCCTATGGGGTGGCCTAGGGCCACTGCTCCCCCGTGCAGGTTCACCTGGTCTGGGGTTAGCCCGAGCAGCCGCTCGTTGGCTATTGTGATGGCCTGGCAAGGGGGATGGGGGGGGTGGGGAGGTGGGGGGGGGAGGGGAGTTTCTAATTGACTCAAATAAAGGTGGCCTAGGGCGACTGCTCCCCCGTGCAGGTTCACCTGGTCTGGCGTTGGACCGAGCAGCCGCTCGTTGGCTATTGTGATGGCCTGGCCTGGGATTGGAGGTTGGGGGGAAGGAGGGGAGAGTGGGGGAGGAGATGCGGGAATGCGGTCGAGGGGAAAGGGTGCGGGGAGAAGTTGCGAGAAGTTGGGGCGTGGGTGTAGGAACAGGAGAGAATGGGTTCACAGAGACTGGTGCGGATGGAAGGGGTGTGCATTCGCGGGGAGGAGGAAACGTGACGAAAAGGAGCCGCAGGTAGCATGGGAACCAGCATGGGTTAGGCATGGGCAAGACGTGGGCACGGCATGAGCACAACGTGGCAGAGAAGAGAATGTGTGCAAGGCAGGCAGGAGCGGGCGCTCACAGCAAAGGCCTCGTTGATCTCAAAGAGGTCGATGCACTCGAGGGTCAGCCCTGCTGCCTGCACCGCCTTGGGGATGGCCAGCGACACTGTTGTGGGGTACCGCTCCGGTGCCTGCTCTCATGCAGAGTTTAAGGGGGGAGGAGGAGAAGGTGAGAGAGGTGGGGAGGGCATTTGAGACGCCAAGTCTGCCTGCACCGCCTTGGGAATGGCCAGTGACACTGTTGTGGGGTACCGCTCCGGTGCCTGCTCTCACACAATTGGAGTTTAAGTGGGGGGGGGGAGGTGTGTGGGAGGTGGGGAGGGCTTTTGCAGCCCCTCAAATGGCTGCTTGCACCGCCTGGGGAAGTCGCCGGCGACCCTGTTGTTGGGAAATGCTCTGATGCCTGCACCCATTTATGGGTGTTAAGGGGGGGAGGGTAGGTGTGGGGAGGTTGGGGTGGGAGTGGGCGGAAGGACAGGGAGGACAAGGGTTCGCAGTGATGGGATGAGAAAACAAGGTGTAGAATGAGTTTGGGGGGGGGGGGAGGGGGAGGAGAGGAGATGAAGATTAAACACCCAGATGAATCCATACTTATCCCTGAAGCCATCCTCAAAGCCATGCAACTCCTCTCACATGCTACGGCACGCATTCAAGGCAAGGCAAAGGAGGAAAGGCAAGGCAAGCGAAGCGAGGAAAGCGAGATGCGGGTGTCCAGGTGCATCACATCACCTGCTCGGCATCAGCAAAGCCGAGCACGCGGGCGAGCACGGGCAGGCCGTGTTGGTGCGCATAGGAAGCGGAGGTGAGCACGAGCGCTGCAGCACCGTCACTCAGCACCGACGCATTGCCTGCTGTCACAGAGCCGTTGGGCGAGAAGGCCGGCGGTAGCGCGCGCATCTTCTCAGGGTCGAACTGATTGGGGGGTTCGTGGACGGTGGGGGTGGAGAGAAGTGGGTAGGCGTTTCGGGGAAGGGTGGGGGGTTATGAGAAGGAGAGAGCAACATCAGAGGAAATTGAACAGTGCAGAAGGGCAGGAATCTAAGTGGTGTGCCTTCGGCATCAACAGTCACTGCATGGATTTCAGGGAAATGCTGAGGGACAAAAGAAAACAATGCACAGAAGGATAATTACCTGCTGATTGTTGCCTTTGCATGTACCCACATCCGCATTAATACGAAGGACCGTTTGAGAGGGATAATTACCCGTGTGCATTCCTCGTCGTGCATCAAGCATGCGTCTCCGCCTCCTCTTCCTCCACCAGCCGTGCTTCCACCCTTGCCAGCCTTTGCCCCCTCACCCTTCTTCGCAGTGGCAGTAGCAGCACCAGCAGCAGCAGTGGTGGCAGCATGCGGGTGTGGCACGGGCACTATTTCAGACGCGAGGAGACCCGTGGCCTGTGCTGTGACGGCCTTGCTGTAGCTGTTGATCGCCTCATCGTCCTGCCCGTGGCGCGTGGGTGCATGGGTGCATGGGTGGATGGGTGCATGGGTGCATGGGTGCATGGCTGCATGGTTGCATGGGTGGATAAGTTGATTAATTGGGTTAGTGGATTGAACGATAAAGGGGGCGGAATGTGGAGGGAAGTGTGGTAGAGAAGGGTACATGGATGGGGGTTGCAAGGCACATGGAGAGGACATGAGGTGTGCAGCTGCAGAGAGCAGGGGTCCGCACGCCGGAATAGGTATGCTGTGCTGTGTGCCCAGAGCGCATGGTTGGCGCAAACCTGCTCCCCCCCCCACCCGCTCACACCCACCCTACCCGCTTCCCCCCACCCGCTCTCCCCCACCTTCCCCCCCGCACCTGCTCGCGGCGAGAGATCCGGAGCTGGGCAGCGGCGGCATCAGCAATGGTGCCCATGTGGCAGCCGGCGCGGGGGTCCCAGAGCCCGTCCAGGATGAGCGAGTCGCACAGCGCCAGGTCACCGTGGCGCCGCGGCTTGATGACACGTGGCAGCAGGTAGGGCGCATGCGACATGCTCTCCATGCCGCCCGCTGCTATGACGCTCTGGTGGCCCAGCATGATGGCCTGACTCGCTAGTGTCACCGCTGCCAGTGGGGGCACGCACGTGCGTACGCGTACGTAGCAGGGGATGCGGTTGGCGGGGAAAGGGGGGAAGAAAGCGGGGGAAGCGATGGGAGAGGAAGGGCGGGGGTAAGTTGGGGAAGTGGGGGGAGAGGGGGGGGGTGAGGGTCAAGCGAATGGGAGAGGGGAGTGGGGTAGCGGAGTGTGGAAAATAGAGGTGGAAAGAGATGAGAGGGACGGGCAGGAAGGGAGGGAGGAGGCAGAAAGGACCGGGGATGATGAGAGATGAGACGGAAGAAGCAGAGGAGGAGGTGCAGAGGGTTGGGAAGAGAGAGTGGGAGAGGATCGGATACGGATACAGTGGTGAAGAGAGAGAGGTAGCGGAGGGGGAGAGCAGAGCACCTTTGAGTCCTGAGGAGCAGACTTTGTTGACAGTGGTGCAGATGGTCGTGTCTAAGAGCCCTGCTGCCTGTTGGTGGGGTGGTGTCAGGACGGACATGCTGTTTGTTTGTTCCGTGCTGTGTGTGCGTGCGCAAGTGCGTGTGTGTGTGTGTGGGGGGGGGGGAGGGCACGTGTGCAGCACTGTATACGTAGCTAACGTAATTTCACAAGCACACACGAAGACCCTCCTCCTACCACCTCCTCCCAAATCTTCCCCCATCGCTCCCTCCTTCCCTGCCTCTTACCCTCCCTCCCTCTAATCGCCACTGAACCGTCCGTCCTAGCGCCAGCCACAATACCCCCCCAACCCCCAGTCCCCACCACCCTTACCCCCAGCCCCCACCCCCCGAACCCCATCCAACAGACGCGCCAAGGCGGAACGCACCAGCGCGGCCTGTCGGGCGGGCGCCTGCCCCAAGCCCGCGCTCAGCACGTTCCCTATCACCACCTCCTGCACCGCCGCTGCTCCCCCGGGCAGCCGCGCGCGCGCCACCGCGCCTGCGGGGCCAAGAATGGGGGATGGGTGATGGCGGGCGGATGGGGGGAACCGAAAAAACGCGGAGGGTAAGAGCGCGGGCGAGGGGAAGGGGTGGCGCGGAGAGCGGGGAGACGCGCGAAGGAGACGGTTGGGCAGGTGGCGCAGGCAAGCGAGAGAAGCAGGGGTTGCCGGAAACACACGCGCGCAGAGGAGGGCGCGCGCGCGCGCGAGAGAGAGAGAGAGAGAGAGAGAGAGAGAGAGAGAGAGAGAGAGAGAGAGAGAGAGAGAGAGAGAGAGAGAGAGAGAGAGAGAGAGAGAGAGAGAGAGAGAGAGAGAGAGAGAGAGAGAGAGAGAGAGAGAGAGAGAGAGAGAGAGAGAGAGAGAGAGAGAGAGAGAGAGAGAGAGAGAGAGAGAGAGAGAGAGAGAGAGAGAGAGAGAGAGAGAGAGAGAGAGAGAGAGAGAGAGAGAGAGAGAGAGAGAGAGAGAGAGAGAGAGAGAGAGAGAGAGAGAGAGAGAGAGAGAGAGAGAGAGAGAGAGAGAGAGAGAGAGAGAGAGAGAGAGAGAGAGAGAGAGAGAGAGAGAGAGAGAGAGAGAGAGAGAGAGAGAGAGAGAGAGAGAGAGAGAGAGAGAGAGAGAGAGAGAGAGAGAGGAGAGAGAGAGAGAGAGAGAGAGAGAGAGAGAGAGAGAGAGAGAGAGAGGGGGGGGGCGAGAGAGAGAGAGAGAGAGAGAGAGAGAGAGAGAGAGAGAGAGAGAGAGAGAGAGAGAGAGAGAGAGAGAGAGAGAGAGAGAGGAGAGAGAGAGAGAGAGAGAGAGAGAGAGAGAGAGAGAGAGAGAGAGAGAGAGAGAGAGAGAGAGAGAGAGAGAGAGAGAGAGAGAGAGAGAGAGAGAGAGAGAGAGAGAGAGAGAGAGAGAGAGAGAGAGAGAGAGAGAGAGAGAGAGAGAGGAGAGAGAGAGAGAGAGAGAGAGAGAGAGAGAGAGAGAGAGAGAGAGAGAGAGAGAGAGAGAGAGAGAGAGAGAGAGAGAGAGAGAGAGAGAGAGAGAGAGAGAGAGAGAGAGAGAGAGAGAGAGAGAGAGAGAGAGAGAGAGAGAGAGAGAGAGAGAGAGAGAGAGAGAGAGAGAGAGAGAGAGAGAGAGAGAGAGAGAGAGAGAGAGAGAGAGAGAGAGAGAGAGAGAGAGAGAGAGATGAGAGAGAGATGAGAGAGAGAGAGAGAGAGAGAGAGAGAGAGAGAGAGAGAGAGAGAGAGAGAGAGAGAGAGAATACAAGTGTGGAAAGACTATGTTCGGGGCGCTTCAGCGTAACGGAGGGAGGGAGAGAGGAGTGCGGGTGAGACGCGAGCACCTGCGATGGCAGCGGCACCAAGCTGCGGGGCGGTGAAGGTGGACAGCCCGCCTTGAAACCCGCCTATTGCGGTCCGCGCCATTGCGACAATCACCACGTCCTGCAGCCCGCTACTGCTGCTGCGGCTGGTGCTGCCGCTACTGCTGCTACTGTTGCCACCACCACCGCCGCCACCGCCTCCACCACCGCTACCGCCGTCACCGCTGCCGCCGTCGATGGTTGCAGTGGTGAACGCGCGGTGAGGCAACTGCTCGCCGGCCCTGCCTGGGTCGACGCCATTAGTCCGAGTGGTACTTTCGCTGGGATGAGCTTTTGACACGGCCTCCCCCCTATTGGCCGACACAAGTGCAGCGGCACCGCGCCGAGCGATATGCAAGCTCCTTGCAGCGCCCACGCTTAGAATACGCCCTGCCGCAGCTCGCGCCGCGAGGTGCGCTATTCTTTGGCATGCACGACTGTCCATGGCAGCAGCGTCGTGCTGGGAAGTGAAGTTCGACTTCTGTTATGGAAGTCTGGTTGGTCGTTTCGAGAAGGCGGAACCTATGGATGGAAGACAATATGCGCTTCACGCCATTCTTTAGGTACGAAAAACAACGGAAATGAACATCAGAAGCTGAAAGGGACAGGCAATGGGAAGCGACAGGACGGGGCAATGGCGTTGAAATCTAGTGAGGTGTGGGGGGGATATTTGGTTGACCAGGCAGCTTGGTTGCGGATTGCGTGGTCCAGTGTCAGCAGTGAGTCAGCAAAGCCCTTGTGATCGGCATGCAGATGTGTCGAAGCATGGTCAACTACGCGGATGCAGGTTCGAAGTGTATTACGGGTCTCTACTAACGAGTTGTGTGGCCGTGGCTTTGAAAGATGGGACTCTATCGATGCTGCAAGAGACGCCCCTGATTGGGGTTTGCATAACAAAAGAGAGGGCTCGTGTATGTGTACAGTATAACGACCATGATCGGTTTGCTCACGTGATCCTGCAGGTGTACAGGTTGTTCCCTCAACAGAAACGAAAATATACAGCTTACAGGTGTAGCTCCTCCTGGACAAAGTTTTTTCCGAAGTGTGACAGAGAGGACATTCTTTCCGGCCATTTTCAGGTGCATGCAGCTTAGCCGAGGCGCGCTAATCAGGTGCATGCTATCCCGTCGTTTTTCTCCTTCGGTTATCACTGTTTGTACACATCCGCCACTAAAAACACTGTTCTGTCAGGGGATGTAACCCACGCAGCACAAGCAGCACACGCAACACACGCAACACACAAAATCGGCCTGGCAGGGAAGCCCGGAAAAGAAAAATGCAACTCCTAGAAAACCTGGACATTGTTCGGGATGGATCAACCCTAAACACGGGAACGCGCTGGTGTTTAGGGTTGATGTCCCTTAAGGCAGTGGGACAAAAAAAATATAGGGAACCTGGACTCGTTTTTCGGAAGGGATCAACCCTAAACACGGGAACTGCCCTCGTGTTTAGGGTTGATTCCTCCCGAGCTGCATCCGTTTCCAATTGGGTTTTATATTGTTTTACCCGTTTTTGTCAGGTGTGTTGCGATTTGTACTGACCTTTTTCGCAGTAATTTTCGTGCGACTGGTGTGGTTGGACGACGAATTCGTGCAAGAGCTGCGCCAGTTAGGACGTGGTGCAGATCGGGGCGATCTGAGGTTAAATGCCTCGATCTCGCAATCCACAAATTCCGAGAAGGTCCAGGGGGTACTTTTGGGCAATCGGGCGCAATCTGTCGCTCGCGATCTACATTGCAATCGATCGCGATCGATTGCCTTGATCTGATGCAATCGATTGCAACCGATTGTGATCGATAGATTGGGTATGTTGGCGAAACTACGCGAGCTATTACTACAGTCGCTTGAGGTTCGCTTTTGCTCGCTTCTACAGAACATCTCTTGACAGTCGTACTAGTAATAGGGCTACCCTGTAATTGTACGAAAAACATATTGTCGCTTGTGTTCGCCAAATTTGAGGTGGAAGGAACATACAGCTCGCCCGGAAGGCACGGTTGAGGCTCCGTATTGTTTCGTAGAAAAACATGCGTCAGATCGCGCGGCGCGGGATGCGATCGATGATTGCGTCAGATCGGGTCAATCACACCCAATCGATTACGATCTGATCCAATCGACCACCGATTGCGTGAGATCGGAGCGATCTGTACCACGTCCTTACTGTCAGTCGGATTGTAGCATCCCCTGACAGAACAGTAATTTTCGTGGCGGAGGTGTACATACAGTAACAACAGAGGCAGAAAAACGACGGGATAGCATGCACCTGAATAGCGCGCCTCGACTAGTTTGCATGCACCTGAAAATGGCCGCATTCTTTCTGAGGACATTACTCCGATTGGGCAAGGATATGGCATCAAAGGGTTGCGACTCAACTGTGTGATTGTCATCCACTACTTGCAGTCGCTGACACGGGTGGTATATGATCTCCGCTGCATGTAACTGGAGGACGACAAACAACGAGGCACCCAGCCACGCAAACCACCTCGGTCTGCGACCAAGAGATAGCGTTTTCTGTCGCGTCCCTTTTCTCTTCGCCCTTACATCCGGCTGTTGCTCGCACAACCCCCACAATCACCCTCCACATACCGTCGCATGCCTTTCCTCCTCGTCGCACACCACCACACCAACTATTTCTCCCACCACCACCACTTTCTCTCACCTCTCCCCCCTCCACCATACCTCCAAGACACAGCACAGCACACACCACATGCGCTCCTATACCACCTCCACCTCCCCTTCTTGCAAGCCATCCCTTGTTCCCTCCCCATTCAAGCCATTCACTTCCAAATCTCACATTCTTCACATTTGGAGTGCCAATAGGCCTTCCAATTCTGTGTCTAGTCTGGGATGTGCCTTCGCTAGACCTCATGCTTGTAACTTAGCAGGGTACAGCCACAATACGCCTTTAGTTGGAGCTTGAAGTGAGGTTGAACATATTATTTCCTCCCCTCGCTTCGCTCCGTTTTTTTTTTTTTTTTTTTTTTCGTTTCTTTTTTTCCCCCTTTTTTTCCCCACGTGTTTTTGTGTTCCGTCGACTTCTTGAAGGCTTCGCATACAGTCTCAGCCTATCTTTTTTCTCAGCATTTCCGTGGATTTGCACCATTCATGAGACCGCGCCTTTGCCTTTACCAATAAGGTGTCGATTCTCATTCACTCCGGGCAGAAGTGCTCCAACCTGGGTGCATTGACTCAGTGCCTGACTTTGTAAAGTAGCAGCTTGTAAACCAGTTAGGTAAGCTGTGATTTTTTTGTTGTTCTCTTAACGATTCCACTGTTTTCCTCCTCCGTGTGCAGCTCAGTTAGTCGCTTTTGTGTTATAAGTATGTTTATAACTGTTTTCCTGCTTCATTATTTATTTTCTGTTTGCAGGTTGCGTCTCATAGCGAAATAGAAGCTCTTGATTGAATCTGACATTTTACGATTCGAATAGCATATCTTTAGGCTCACGGTATGCGCTTTGCGATTCAGCACATGTTTTCATAAAACAAGTTTACAGGACCCGTGTACGTCTTTTTTGTTGCTTGTTATTGCGTATCCACTGAATTTTTGAAGTCGTTCCTGTTTCTTGCCTGCATCTTGTTACAGGCATTTGCTGTAATACTAGGAGGACTGTCCGAAAATGGCCACTGAACTGGGTACCGAGAAGGCCAGCATAAACGGAGGGCGATTTGACGCAAGTCAGTACGCCTTCTTCAACGCCGACTCTGCCGCTTTACCTCAGGAAGAGTTAGGCGGCTTGGAGGATGATGGTGCAGATGGGGAACTTGGCGGATGGGACGAGAATCCGGACAACCCGGAAGAACCTTCTGTTGAGTGGTCGGATCAGCCAAGCCTTAAGACCAACGATGTGAGCGCTATGGAGTTAGCGCATAGTTCCGGTGCTTTTTTCTTGATTATTATTTTCTATTTATCCTCTATTTGTCAGCGCGCGTCCTACACAGTTCAGAAATTTCTTTCGTCATTTGGTCCCTCTCGTTGTCTTGCAGGTAGGTGATGACTTAGGGCTCAGTCTCCAGCAGCTTCGGATAAAAGACTCGGAGCAGAGCAAGCCGGAGCAACAGGAAAAATGGTTGGAGCGACAGCAAGAAGAGCAGATTCCTGTAGGATCGGAAGCCTCTAGGGTCTCAGCAAGTCAGAACATCGGACCGCCATCTGCTGGCGTTTCGGGTCCCCCTCTGCCGACTGGGTTCGTTGGCGGAATGCCGCCTCCTACGATGCGCCCCATGGGCAGCCATCCCGGAGGTGCTTGGCCCGCACCTCCTGCCCCTTTTCTTCTTCCCCCTAACATGCCTCTTCCGCCGAATTTTGCGGGGCCGCAAGGCGTCGCCGTTCCGCCGCCGTGGCCTGCGCCAAATGCACCCTATCAGCAGCAGCAACCACCTCCGCTACCACAGGGTCAGCAGCAGCAGCAGCAGCAGTTCTTGCAGCCTCCAGGGATGCAGCAGCAGCAGCAGTGGGCGGGCAGCCCAGGCGCGTGGCCGGGACCGGAAGCTACGGCGGGTCCTGGTGCTTCTCCGGCTCAAGGGGGACAGGTTATGATGCCGACGTCCGTCGGCATGTCTGCCGGGCCGGGCCCCGCGCGGCCCATGCACAATGCTCACGGCGGCCCTGGAGCCGGTGGCCTGTCGGAAGGGGGTGGCGGTTCGCCGGGTATGGTGAGGTCGCAGTGCATGAGCGTGGAGGAAATGCAGTCCATTATCCGTATGCAGTGGGCAGCTGTTCATGCCGGGGATCCGTATGTGGACGACTATTACCATCAAGCGGTGGAGCAGCGCAAGGCAGCGGCTGCTGGCATGCGCCTCCGCCACTTCGCGCCCGCTACCCTCCAGCCGCCAGGGAGCTTGCAACGAGGCAACGGGCAACAGCAGCAGCAGTCCACAGTCGCGTTCGTTCCGATTCAAGGTCTGGGTCGAGTTCCTATTCCCTCCATTCGCCGTCCGCGGCCGTTGCTGGATGTCGAGCCGCTTGCTTGCCTGCACTCTTCGTGGCACGAAAGCGGGCTGGGAGGCAAGGGAGATGGAGTCGGTCCGGATGGGCGGCAGCAGCCAGTGCGGCCGCTGGAGCAGGAGCCTATGCTAGCGGCGCGCATAGCCATTGAGGAAGGCATGAACGTGCTGCTTGACGTTGATGACATTGACCGACTCTTGTCCTCGCCCCAGCCGCTCCCACCACATGCTGCTGCGCAGTTGCATCGCACGCGCCACTTGCTTCTGGAAACCCTCGCGGCCTCGCTCCAGCTGTCGGATCCTCTCATTCCTGGAAGCCCGCTTGCTCCCATGCATGATGTGCGAGCCGCGGCCTCCGCTGCAGCAACTGCTGTCGCCACTGCTGGACCTACTGGCGGCTGGGGAGGAAGGAGTGGAGGTAACAGGGGGGTGTCTAGTGTCGTTCCTCCAGAGGATGTAGTCTGGCTTCGATTGTCTGTTCTTCCCAAAGGAAGGAAGTTTCTGGCTCGATTTTTCAGTGTGGTGCCAGCAAACTCCCCACTTCAGCGCATTCTGCTTCTGGCTGTGTTCCGGCACTTCCGCATACTCTTTTCCCCATCGGCAGTAGGTTCTGCCCCACCTGAGCCTCCATCCACGCCTGAGGCTGCCGCCCTCTCACTCCCTACGCAAGTCATTCGAGCCATGCAGAGCCTGTCTTCGTTAGACGTTGCTGCTGCATGCCTTGCAGCAGTTGTGCTTGCTCCTGAGGCTCCACCTTTTGCCTCGCACACACCAGCAGGGCGTGCTGCCACCTCTGTCCTTCGCACACTTCTTGATCGCGCAGCTAATGTTCGTGCAGCTGCTGCCGCATCAGCGAATGCAGCTGCATGTGCTGCTCCTCACAGTCATCACCAGGTCCAGTTTCAGCTGCAGCAGCAGCTGTTGTCCTGGCAGATTGGATTTGATGCCTTCTTTGACAGGCTGTCCTCAGCATTGTGCTTTCGAGCCATCCTTTCATCACTGCCTCTGCCTGCAGTTGCAGCTGCAGCTGTGAGCAAGGAGATGCCTCTTGAGCTTCTCCGTTCTGCCCTGCCTCACACAAGCCAGGAGCAGCGTGACCAGGTTGGAGCTCTTCTCCAGGGACTGCTCCGCAGCAGCAACAGTGCTGCATAATGAGTCACTGCTCGTAGTTGTTGATGGAAGAGGGTATGTTCTCGTGCACTTTCAGGATGTGCTTTGTTTGCCAGTGTACAGTATAAACTAAGGGCATTGATTGACCTGTGCAGGTTGCAGGAGTGGCTGCAACAGTCCCATCCTCTGCTGATGTGCTACACTGTATGTGGTGCCTGTGATTAGAATGTGGTGCAACTGGAGGTGAGCAGGGGAAGCAATTGAGAAATTGCTTGGATGTGAAGTTCCAGGAGATGCAGGAGCAGACTGGATGTGGATAATGCAGATTGACACTGCATAAGGCATGTAGTAGTTTGGCCTGTTTGTGATGTGTAACAGTCGAATTTCTCAACTTGGACCTGTTTTTCTCTGTTCAATGTTGGAGGTGAGAATTATTTGTCAAATGTTTGAAAGTGTATACCAGGTTACTTCCAGAGGTTGCATGATGCATCAGAGAGGGAAACTTTGCCAACATTCAAACTCCGCCCTAAGGTGGTTTGTGGGAGAATTACTGAACATACCTGGTGTAACAGGCCCTTATGTGGACCTTCCCATACTCGCTATGGTTATGCAATGAAGGATGGTCTAAATATCCATTTTTTTCATCTAGCATGGTAGAATCGAATCGGGGTGACACTTCCCTTTCCCGCGTGAGGGAATGAACTCCACCTCAAATGAAACACATCGTTGAATCTTGTGACATTTCCATTTCCCGCGTCGCGCCAAACCCTGGCAGTCACAGACCGCGGTCCGCTGTTACCGCTGTCAGTCAGAACACTCGCCCAAGCACTACTGACCTTTCTGCTCGGCGCGGTCCACAGAAAGCTTGAAAGCCAGTGTCAAAGTCGCGTTTCGGTTTGGAGCCTCTGAGCTTAGTTTAGGTCCGGTTATCCTTCCCGAGCCTCCTGGTCAGACCTCGAAACTGAGGAAGATCGAGATCCCGCGAGGTCTCTTCGTCTCAACCTGGCTCGGAACCACCCGATCACCAACCTTACCGAATTCGCTTCGGCTCCCTCCTCCTCAACCTCCCCAGCCTAACCAGGCTCCTCTCATCCCGAACCTTGTTTCCCTCCATCGGTCCTTGTGCGTTTCCCACATCACCCTCTTGCTCCGATCATATCGACACATCCATCCACCATCCTCTCAATACGCCACAGCAGAACGGAACGGAACACTCACACATCTATCACCACCACTAAAGCTTCACTGCCTCAGATCTTGACATGCTTGCTGCCTCACATTGTTCACGCCTGTTGCACCAACAGAGAGTAGTTCTGCGCGATGGGGAATCTTTAGGTGCTCCTGACTTAGTGCTGGCATCGAGCATCTATTCAGCAATCATCCCGTTGCTAGGAAACTTTTGAAGTAATCGAGGCTGCAGGAGCCTCAGATACGAACTAAACAAGTTTGCATCCGTCCAAATTCCACAACCGTCCATCATGGGTCCAAACGCGGCGGTCGAGTACTCGCCAGCTCCGAAGTGAGTTTAGCTTCAGTGTTCGAACTTCGTGAAGCCTTCTCTCCTGAGTGGTGATGTACTTATGAACATCCACCTTATTCCCGTGCGCTGCTCTCGCAGATCCGATCCGAATCTTCGACGTGTGAAGTTGTTGATACGCGAGTCTGCGTCCACGTCCAGAACTCTCGTCTGTGCGACCACGGCGATGATCCTGCTTCTTCCTCTCCTATTTTGGGCCTCCACGTCAAACTCCGCGGACACGCTTCAAGGTTGCCTAGCCTGTTTTCCTGTCTATGCCGTGATGATCTCTATTCAATCCGCTTGTCTTTTGCATATGGAATCTACCCCCTTCTGCATGGAAGCTGCTAGTTTCGGTCCGACTCTGCAGTATCAACTCGTTGCCCTACGCCTCGTGTTTTCCGTGGTTTCCATGTGTATTGCAGAGCCCTCGAGCGCGACCATGGTTACGTTTGCCCCCAACTCCGAGGTACAGAATCCGATACTCTGTGATTTCGTTTTCTTCCTTTGTCGTCTCTCTCTTGCACTGCTGTTGTCCTTCTCTTTTCTATGATTGTAAAAAACAAGGTACTCGCTGCGCGCATGATTGGAGCCATTTGTAAACCTATAGTGATAGTTTTATCCAAAACGGGTTTAAAGCAGTTTTGTTCCATTATGTTCCCCTGGCGATTTGAAGGTAGTTTTCGTTCTTGGGCTACGTCGTTAATCCCGATTATGCCTCCTGTGGCCTAAAATTCGTATTTGTGTGAATCTTAGTGTTTGCTTTTCTTCTTGTTTCGCTGGTACGAAAGTCTGTGTGCGTGGTTGTATGTGCCTGTGGGCGGCAATGGCGTTAGGTTTATCCGGGTTTTGACCGTGTGTATGTGCTATCGTGTGTGTGCGACTGTGCGATGCTATGAGCGTGCCCCTTTTTTTCACGTGCGTCGCTGGTAATGCACATGGGTGTCGCATGTAGTGTATGGTCATGGCTGCGGTGGGCACACAGCTGCAGCTTCGCGAGCGTGTTTTTGCTCCCAGCCTTGCTCTCTGTCTCGTTCGAAGCAACGACGCAAAAGGAGGGAAATCTGTTGCCCTGACCCTAACTTCTCGTCTTGCTTGATGATTGCTCGTGTGGTGTGGTGTTCGGTGGAAACAGAACGAAGCGGAGGACGGGGTGTTGGCGGACGGTGGCGTGGACAATGTGGGCGACAGCCTATCGGAGACCGCCAGGATCGGGCGGATGCGACCAGCTCCAGAGGCGGAGGACGGGGAAGCGGCGGAGCAACGAGACGAGGGCGCAGGAGCGGAGCAGGAAGGCGGGGAGGAAGAGGGAGGTGCGGCGAAGGAGAACAGCGAAGGGAGGAGTTCCAGAAATAACCGCGGCGGGCGCAAAGCAGGCCCTGCAGAACCAGAGGAGGGGGAGCAGGAGCAGGAACAGGCAGGGGAGGAGGGCGAGGGGAAGGATGGGGAGGGCGAAGAGAAGGAGAAAGAGGATGGCGGGCGCAAACCTAGCGCTCCGGAGGTGGTGGTGGTGGTGAGGGACGGGAAGGAGAACGTACCAGAGGAGAAGAAAGAGAACTACATGTCTCTCATGGGCGACCTTGTCGGACAAGTGGCCGACATTCTGCCGGAGGCGGAAAAGCGCGAGAACGCGCAGATGGTAAAGCACGTGCGCGCGGCTCTGGAGCGTGCGGAGCCGCTGGTGGAGAAGTGGAAGGGCGACCGGACGTGGGCGGGCGAGGAGAAGGTGCTGGGGCTGATCAAGCTGCTGGAGGCTCTGCGCGCGCGCGCGCAGGAGTGGAAGAGCACGCTGTCGACGCTGGACCGGCTGAAGAAGAAGGTGGAGTCGCTGACCAAGGAGCGCAACCAGCTCGACCTCGCCGCGGCTAAGGCGCTCCCCAAGGCTCTGCACTGCCTCAACCTGCGCCTTGCCGTGGTACGCTGCGCGGGGGTGGGGATGTGGGGAAGGGGTTTGGAGGAGAGGTGGCGGGGAAAGGAGAGATGGGGAGGGGTGCTGGATAGCGCTGTCTGGTGAGCGTTGGGAGTGTGGAGGGTGTGGGTGTGGTGAAGTATAGATGCATTGAGTGTATGTGGGTGTTGCGATTTCTAGTCTAATCTATCTGTGCCTGTGGTGGCGGTTATGGTGCATTGTGTGTGCGTGGGGAGTGGATGTTTGAGGTTCGTGTATGTGTGTGTGCGTGTGCGATTGCGTGTGTGCGTGTGTGCGCGTGTATATGTGTGCGAGTGCAGGCGTACGGCAAGGACGACGAGATGAAGGAGCTGACGAAGGCGCGGGAGCAGAAGCAGGCGGACAAGTTCAAGGACCCGTCGCTGCACCACTACGCGCTCTTCTCCGATAACGTGCTCGCCGTCTCTGTCGTTATCAACTCCACCGTTCAGAACACCAAGGAACCGGAGAAGTAAGAAGCCCTCGTTTTGTTCGTCCTTTCTAGAAGGGGGGAGGGGGGACACGTTTGAGTTTAACACGGCTCTGCTTTTGCTCCTACCTGGTCTCCCTCCCTCCCTCACTCGCTCACTACCTCCTTCCTGGTCTCAGACTCGTTCTGGTTTTCTGCCTTTCTCGTCCTTCGCTCAGCTCCTCCGCTTCCCCTCTCCCTGACTCGCTTCCCACATACTTCCCCGTGCAACCAATCCTCCCCTCCCCGTGCAAGTCCCTCTGCCTCGTTAGTCCATGACTCGTGTCATTCCCCCATGCCCCTCATGCTCTCCATTCCGTCCTCTTCTTCCGTTCCCGTTCTGCACAATGTTACTTGGTTTCTCGCTGATTAATTTCTCTTCCTTTTTCTTCCTCGTTATCCGCGTCACCTGCTTTCCAAAGATTCTAAAAACCCTGTGTTTCGTCCCTCCCTGCTCATCGCCTCCCCGCCTCCCCACCTCCCCACCTCCCCGCGACCCCCCTACCCGTCCCCCTGCGCGGTGCAGGCACGTGTTCCACGTGGTGACGGACGAGATGAACCTGCCGGCCATGCGCACGTGGTTTGCGCTGCACCCGCCGGGCAAGATGGCGCTGGAGATCAAGGCCGTGGAGCACTTCACGTTCCTCAACGCCTCCTACTGCCCCGTGCTGCAGCAGCTGCAGGCCGCCGCGCTCAAGACGTACTACTTTTCGCAGCACGAGGAAGGTGCGAGGGGAAGGGGAGAGGGAGGTTCAAGGGACGGTTGGTGGGAGATGGTTGCATGGGTGATGGGAAATGGGTGTGTGGGGAAATGCGAGGTGGGTGTTTTGGGGATGGGAGCTGGGATGTTTGGGGGATGGGAGATGGGCTGTGTGGCGAGTTTGAGAAACGAAAGAAGGAGACATGTGAACAGGGCAGGGGATGCCTCATGACTTCCGCATTCCTTGCCCCCATGGTTCGCCCTTGTGACTTTCTCTTAACGACTCGTTGTGACTGTTGCACTACTGTGCACAAGATGCATCTGTGTTCCGTATTCCCTATTCCTTCACCTCTCTTCTCCACCTTCCTCTCGCAATTGTCCCCTCTCTCTCACTCTCGCCTCTCTCTCACCTCTCACTCACTCGTCTCTCCTCTCGCCTCTCGTGCCCTGTGGCCCAGCAGGCAAGGCCAAGACAGCAGTGAAGTTCAAGAACCCCAAGTACCTCTCCATGCTCAACCACCTGCGCTTCTACCTCCCACAGGTCCGTGCTCTCTTTTGACCACCACGCACACATGCGCACGCAAGCGCGCGCGCGCGCACACACACACACACACAGGAAAGAAGTGAAAATCTACATGAACAACGTTTTCAGCGCTTGAATGGAATCATAGGTTGACTTTAGAAGCGCTCAAAGGTCATCTCCATTACCAAACCACATGCACTCCTGGCCCCACAGGTCAGTGCTTCCTCTCATCCCTTCGTCATTGCAGCTCCTCGTGCCCCTCCTACATGCTTTCATCATCACTTCGTTTCACTGAGTACCCATCCGGAACCCTCCATTCAACCTACCGCCCAACCTTACCTTGGCCCCCTTGGCAGCATGCGTGGCTGCTGGTTTGGGTGGTTATCCCTCTCTGCTTTGTCCCTCGACGATGCCATTCTGACCTCCTTCAATCAGACCCGCACAAACCTGTCACTTGTCGCTTGCTTCAACGGGTCCCATCCCTCTCATCCTTGTAAACATCCTGCCTCTTTAACTTTCCCCACGGTTTGACATCTAATCATAAAAACGTCATTACATTAAAACGGTGGAATGCTCTAACGTCCCAACGCCCACCCATGTATGCGTGCAATGCCAACTGCCCATGGTGCCATTTTGCTGCTGTAGATGTACCCGACGCTCCACCGTGTGGTGTTCCTGGACGACGACATAGTCGTGCAGTCGGACTTGTCGCCGCTCTTCTCGCTGCCGCTGCACGGCAATGTGAACGGCGCGGTGTTCACGTGCCGCGATGAGGACGAGTTCCACCGCTTGCACAAGTACCTCAACTTCTCGCACCCCTTTGTCAAGGAGCACTTTGAGCCCAAAGGGTGCGGGTGGGCGTATGGCATGAACGTCTTTGACCTCGAGGCGTGGCGCCGCCTCGACCTCACTGAGGTCTACCACAAGTACCAGCGCATGGTGGGTTGTGTGGAGGGGAAGAGGAGAGAAGCGGGGCTGGAGCTCCTGATTGAACTGGAAAGAAGTGAGGGGCTGGCAGGTCTGGGGTTTGAGGGGGCTGGGATGGAGGTTGGGATTAGGAGAGTAAGACAGTGGGAGGGGCAGGTGGCTGCGGGTGATTGATGCAAGCTGGTATTCATTCTAGACCTGTAGCTCGTTCTCCTGTCCCTACCCATTCTAGCTCTCGTTCCCAATTGCTTTCTCAGACTCCTCATTCCCATTGTAAATCTCACTCTCATACCCCTGTGTTTCTATTCCTCTGGCGCTCCCTTACCCCCCGGCAGAACGAGAACCGCACACTGTGGCAGTTGGGCACATTGCCGCCCGGGCTGATGACGTTCTACAACCTGACGGAGCCTCTGGACGCGCACTGGCACGTGCTGGGGCTGGGGTACAACAAGGAGGTGTCTGTAGATGATGCACAGGGCGCTGCTGTCGTGCACTACAATGGCAACTGGGTGAGTGGGTGGGACTTGAATGGAGGACGATCACTGAGTGCATTGACTCATCCATTCGTGACTACAACTGACGAGTTCAGCTCATAGCAAATGTGTGGGCTTCATCTGTATTTTGCCCATTTCTCTAGTCCTGGAGCTTATCCACTTTTGAAATCTCCTTTCTCCCTGTTGTGCTCCTGTGCCTCTTCCAAATGTGTGGGCCTCATCTGTCTGCCTCCCCTCTGTGTGTGCCATGTGGTGTGCAGAAACCTTGGTTGGACACGGCACTCAAGTCATTCCGGCACTTCTGGACCAAATACGTGGCAGCAGATGATGACATTGTCTCACAATGCAACATCGACCTCAACAGCTGACAAGCTCATGAATTCCCATGCTCCCCCATATCCCAGCCATTTCCCCCAATCCCTGGATGAACCGCCTTCCCCTCTTTCCATCCACCTCACATGTACACAGTGTGCGAGGTATTATTAGGCTTTCTAAACTTCTCTTTCCTCCAACCTACTTTTTTTCTCTGCCTTCACACATACACAAGCAAACACACCTTTCCTAGCATGGCACGCCCTGGACATGTGCATGGCCACATCCCGTCTGGCTGAATCAGTCCTGCGCCGGCCCCAGTCAACAATACAGTACTGTTACCATTGTGGTGACCATGGTACAACATTCCTGCATGGATGTGATAGTTACTGATCATATAGTAGTCTGTTTTTGTGGACGCCTGCAAGGAGCAGGTTGCTAGGTTTTCTTGACTCTGCCACTTGCATCAATGAGTATGTGCTGGCTGTTTGCCACTTACCCAAATATAGTGGTTTCCATGTCTTCTGTTATTTGCTGGCTGGCACCTGTATTGGGGAATGCTGTGTCGGATTGCTGAGATTCACTGTTGCTCCCTGCAGTGTAGTGAGGTGCCTCAAACCCCTGATGCATTCTGCCAGACCTAGGTGCCAGTAAAGCACACAGAAAAATACATATGGTATGGTACAACACCTACTAGGATGAGCTAGTACCCCATGAAAGGGGCTAATCACTCATTGCGGCATGTGGCCAGGAGTCAGCCAGCAAGAGCTTGTCTGTGCGATGCTGGCTTGTCAAGATAGTAAGCAGGGATGATGGCATTCAATGAATTGTGGGTACAAGTACAACTAACCCTAATATTGGGTTGTACCCCATATAGCCTACCCCACTATAGCTTACACACAACTAGCACAAATATGGTTTGACACACCCCCATAGGCAAAGTGGGGAGAACAAGGGGTCACAAGACCAGTCAAGAAAAGAAAAGCAAGCTCAGGGTGGATCACAACGTCACCACACACTTCGAGCACGAGTAAGAGGGCCACAAGGCCAGTTCACAGGCACAGGTATATAAGGTAGTATGCAACAACAACAGTGCAGTGATCACTGCCTAGAAAGCGTAAACATGCAGGTATAATTTTTGTTATATATACCTGCCATAGTACTGTACAACCAAAGTCTACAGCAAGTGAGGAAACGTAGGCACCAGGCCTAGAGCAATGCAGAAGCGCTGATCATCACCAGCCGGAAGGTCCTTGGTGAACACATTAGCCGTGTTGGCAACACGAAGCTGACCACGCTGCTGTAAATCTCGAGCAGGAAGTAACACAGAGCGATGTGCTTCGTTCTGTGCTCCAGTCTGTGGTCCTGACAAAAGGCAATGGCAGCCTTGTTGTCGACGTACAGAACTAGAGGAGAAAGAGGCCTCTCTTCCAAGTCGGTCAGCAGGTAGGTGAGCCAGCATAACTCCTGTGCAGCCATGGCTGTGGCGTAGATCTCAACCTCACAACTGGAGCTGAGAACAGAAGACGAGCGTGTAGACCGCCAAGAAACAGAGCTAGAGCCAAGGCTGAACGTGTAACCCTGTGACGACCGTTGCGTAGCCAGGTCGTTAACCCAAGAAGCGTCTGAGTGCCCAGTGAAGACAACTGGACTCCGCCCTCCAAGCACGAGCCCCCTTGCCCGATGTACTGCACAAGTAGCGCAGTACCCTCTTCGCAACATCGAAGTGCACCTTTCGGTGGCTACCAGGAGCCACGTAGCGTGTCAGAAGGCCAAGAGGGTATGCAAGGTCAGGAAGAGTGCAGGTCATGAGGTACATGAGGCAGCCCACTAGCTCTAGGTACGACCCACTCAGCTCTACGAACTCGTCCGAAGGTGGAGCTGAGAGCGAGTGACCTGTAGCCAGGGGAGTGGACTGTGGCGAGGACCTAGTGAAGCCGAAGGGGTGAAGGACCTGCTGCACCATGTGTGACCGAGTCAGTGTGATGGTGCGCCGTGCTCTGTCCCGGGTGATCTGCAAGCCAAGGTAGCTGCGCAGCTCACCCATGTCTGTGCACGTGTGTCTCTTCCGCAACTCCGACTTCACCAAGGCGAGAGCCTTAGTGTCAGCAGTGGCAAAGACCAAGTCGTCGATGTACAGAAGGACGTAGAACGGCGGCAACCAAGTGTTGGTGCGCAGAAACAGCGACGGGTCAGCCCAAGAGTCTGTAAGTGTCGTCCTCAGTGTATCCTGCCACTCATGAGGTGCCTGACGGAGACCGTAGACTGGCCGGCGGAGGCTCCACTGGGTACTAGGAGGGAACGATCCACTGAAGCCAGGTGGGCGGCGCAGCCAGATCTCCTCCTGCAGACTGCCCTGTAAGAATGTTGTGCTGAAGTCCAGAGAGTGAAGCTTGTAGTCATTCTGAGCGGCAACGTGCAGCAGCACCCAAAGAGTGGTCATCTTCGGGGTGGGGGAGAAGGTCTGGAAGAAGTCAACTCCCTGCCACTCACTGAAGCCTCGTGCAACGTAAGGAGCCTTGAAGATAGGCGGAGAACCTGGCGGCCGCTTCACCCTGAAAATCCACATGTCATCGACTAAGTTCGCCCCAGGAGAGGGAACAGCGTCGACGTAAGTGCCTGTGAACTTCCAAGATGCCATCTCTACATCCATGGCTGTCTGCCACTGAGAAGAGTACTCACCCGCGATCGCCTCAGCGTAAGAGCGCGGGGTCGGGATGTCTGGAGCATCCGGGTCTCCCTTAGGGGCAAGCAGCATGGCCGCGAGATGAGACGCAGCGGCTGCAAGACACTCAAAGTCCTCCTGCCTGTCCTCAAGGACGTCCGTGCCAAGAGCACACTCACCCCCGACGGACGGAGGACAGACAGACTCAGACTCAGCAACAAGACTAAGAACGAAGTCTAGACAACAGGCAGCAGCAAAGTCAACAAGCTCAAAGATTAAGGCAGACGCAGCAGTAGACTCAAACGACGGGTCAGTGACAACAGGTGCAAGCTAACGCGTGACAGTAGGGTGAGCAGCACAAACCAGGTCGGACTCAGGGTCGGGTCCGTCAGCAAGAGAGGACGCAAGAGGAGACGGAAGGGTAACACGCTATGAAACAGAGGAAGGACGAAGTGCCATAGTGTGCGTGCCAGGGATAGGAGGCAAACGCTCACGAGGAGCACGACAACCAGTGCGACGAGCGCAAACAGGCGAGGCAGGACGAGATGCAAGCTCACAACGCTCTATAAGCGAGTCTGTCAGCTCAGTGTAAGGAGAAGGAACACGCAGTGGTGCGCCGGGTCGTAACGGGAGGCCAGTAGAAGACGGGAGGCTAAGAACTTGGCGAAGCACGGAGTCAGGCGGCGGCAGAGACGACGGTGACGGCGGAGCGAAAAACAGACGCGGCTGGGCAGTGCCACCAGCACCAGTAGCTCCAGCGCCTCTAGCAGCTCCAGATGCTCCAGCTCCAGCGCCTCCAGCAGCTCCAGAACCCCCAGCTCCAGCGCCTCCAGCAGCTCCAGAACCTCCAGCTTCAGCGCCTCCAGCAGCTCCAGAACCTCCAGCTCCAGCGCCTCTAGCAGCAGCGTCTCCACCTCCACCGCCTCCAGCAGGAGCACCTCCAGCTCCAGTGCCACCAGCAGCAGCACCCCCAGAACCGGCACCTCCAGCCCCAGGGTCCCCAACTCTAGTGTCGACAGTACTAGCTCCAGGGCCTCTAGCTCCTGCTCCTCCAGCGTCAGCACCCCCGGAACCGGCACCTCCAGCCCCACGGTCCCCAACTCTAGTGTCGACAGTACTAGCTCCAGGGCCTCTAGCTCCTGCTCCTCCAGCGTCAGCACCCCCAGAACCGGCACCTCCAGCTCTGGGGTTGACAGCACCAGCTCCAGGGCCTCTAGCCTTAGTACCTTCAGCAGCAGCACCCCCAGAACCGGCACCTCCAGCTCTGGGGTCGACAGCACCAGCTCCAGGGCCTCTAGCCCCAGTACCTCTAGCAGCAGCACCCCAAGAACCGGCACCTCCAGCTCCAGGGTCGACAGCACCAGCTCCACGGCCTCCAACCCCAGTACCTCCAGCAGTAGCACCCCCAGAACCGACACCTCCAGCTCCAGGAGCAGTACTAGGCCCGACAGCTCCAATACCTCCAGTACGAGCACCTCCAGAACCAGAGACACCAGTACTCCTAGTGCCTCCATGACAAGCAGCTCCAGTAGCACGACTCCTCAGGCGGGTACGCGACGCAAGCCACTCTCGTGCCTGCTGTCGTGAGAGAGGCCCACGTCGGGAAACGAGACCCGGAGGAACGCCAGCAGACTCAGCACCCCCCAGGCACCGCACCCTCGAGCACCTCACGCACAGGCTCAGCAACCCCAGACGTAGCACCTCCAGCAGCACCTTCCGAAGCAGCACCTGAGTCACTAGTGACCTCTACAGGCTCAGCCAAGGGGAGCAGGTCTACCTGAGACACACCTGAAGGAGCGAGACCCTGAGGGGGGAGAGGTTCTACCGGAGGGGGAGATGGAGCGAGAAAAAGCGGCGGGGGGGGGAGAGGGGTAGTGCGGTAGGGGAAGAGACGGTAGAAAGGAACTGACTCGTCAAAGGTGACGTCCTGAGAGGGCGGGACACGGCGCGAGGTGGTGTGGTAGAACTGCCAGCTAGGCGCGTCAGGGACAAAGCCAAGGAAGACACGGGGAATGGTGCGGGAGGAGAGCTATTCCGCGGACGTATCGCGGACATGGGCACGAGCACCCCAAACCCAGAAGCGCGACGCATCGCCAACCTCCCTCGTCCAACGTAGTGTGGGCGAGGTCTCCGGCAAGGAGACACGAGGCCAGAGGTTGAGCTGCTGTGCGGCGTACCGGACCGCAAATGGCCACAGAAATCGGGGAGCCGCCGCATGGATCAAGGAGGTACAAGCGACCTCCATCACCAAGCTAATGCGGCGCTCAGCAACCCCATTTTGCTGCGGTGAGCCCGGAAGCGTGAACGACTGCTCGATGCCCCACCCTTGACAGAAGGCCCGCAAGAGGTCGGAGGTGAACTCACGACTATGTCAGAGTGCAGACGCAAGAC